CATATTAGATATTACATTTTATCATACACAGACGTCTTCTGTTTTCGTTCTGCTCGTTTCTTCAGGTCCTGGCTCTGCAGCTGCGCTGGTGTGAGGAGATCGTTCAATATATCTTTTTTTTTGGGTGCATTTTAGCATGAATGGGTGGTCTAAAGCATCAAAATATGGGTGGTTTTTTTCTATTATTGCTTTACTAACATTAGATCATGTAGACATGCAACATGAGTGTTTATGGACATTTTCTGGAGATTTCTGGAGAAATTGAATATGAGTAATCCTCATTAAAATATGGGTATAGCTCAAAATTAGCTACCCCAATTTCATTGGATGGTTCATACTAGTCACTAGACTAACTCACATCTGTGGTCCCCTTAATGGTCTTCCATTTTGACCCACATCCATATGGGAAGATCACCAGAAAAACATGCCGCATGGAAGCCATCCCCGTCCCGTCCAACAGGATCCAACAGTATGGCATTTCTAGGTGTATGTATATATATATATTGTAAGCGTGTACAATATGATATATCTATTGTGGAGTATATATATATATATGTGTGTCTTGTTCTTAACATTGTTCCTATCGTTTGTTGTTGTTGTTGTTGTTGTTGTTGTTGTTGCTTAGCTGACCATGCCATCAGCCTCGCCCCGGAAAAAAAGAGCACTCAAAAAGTGCAGGATTCAGAGCAGCTGGGAGCCCTAAAAACCAGGGACAGAGACTGCATGTATCTGGTTGGTGGTTTGGGGCATGACTTTTATGACTTTCTATATATTGGGAATTTCATAATCCCAACTGACGAACTCATATTTTTCAGAGGGGTAGGTATGCCACCAACCAGTTTTGTTGGTTTCTTTGTTTCATTGTTTTTTTCGGTTGTTTGTTCAGTCAACCACGTTGCTCAGTGAACCGCATTGTTCAGTCAACCACCATATATTTAAGTTTTCTTTGTCTTATTTAGTCTTATTTGTCAAGTTTGGGAAAGCTTATAGGTTTATTATTTGTCAACCACCATATATTTCTTGATTGGTGCTTTGTTGTAATTACCTCCATTTAGAGGTTTCCTAAAGGCTTCCCCCCAAATGATCCAGCGATGAGTCGCGGTAAAGAAATTTGCGTCCTCCCAGGCCACCTCGCCGCGGTTCCGCGCATAATATATATGATATGAGAATATATATACAATATATAATATATATATATACATATTTATGACTATGATTATCAATATTCATCCATATGTATATATATATATTTTCACTACTATTATCCATGATGCATTGATGTCTTTATTTGAAGCCCGTCTAAGACGGCGTTTTGACCGGCAGTCAGGTCGCTGGAAGTCGAACGAGAGAAGGCTCTCCAGGCGGCAGTCATTGGACATCTTGGAAACATCTGATATTCTCTTAGTATATAGGAAAACCATAGGTAAACCATAGGAAATGGTGATTTAATGAGGGTTTATGGTGGTTTAATGGAATTTAATGGGATTTACCCTCTGGTAAACGTTTACATAACTATGAAAAATCAACATTTTCAATGTGTAAATAAATAATCATATATATTTATTGGTTATATAAATAATACAAATTATTTGTTTATATATTCTATTGGTTATATTGGTAATAACAATAATATATATATATATATACATATTTATATTCAATATAGAGACAATTGGAACCAACACTAATAAACCAACTAGAAACATTGTAACAATTAAAACGATTAGAGATAAAACACTAATAAAACATCTGATGTGTCTATTCAAATTCTGATATTTATAGTCAATATAGAGACAATTAGAACCAACACCCGCCAGAAACCATGGTAAAAGTAGGGGATTTACATGGATTTACACTACTGTGGGTAAAACAATAATAAACCACCCATTTGGGAATGGTAAGCATACAACCTATAAAAATGGTGAAATAGGGGATGGTTTATTATTGTTTTACCAACATGGGTATATATAGTAACCTGCCAAATATATAGTAACTTACAAATAGTAACAACACAGAACATATATATATATATATATAGTAACCTCCCCAAAAAAGATAGATACTTAAGTAAAGAATTTCACGACTTTCCTTTGATTTTACGATATAATGTGAACGTAAACCATGGTAACGCCAATAATAAAACATCCCTAGTCGAGGTTTATTCTTGGGTATACCCTTAATGATCCCCCAATGGTTGGAATATCCTATTGCAACATCGGAAACATACGATATGGGATATACCCATCAATGATGATGTAATGTAGATGTGGATCCATTGAACAAATTACCCATTACTGATGGTTTCATTCAGCAAGTTATCCATTACTAATGACGAAATTGGTTCCATTGCCCGTTCCATTTTTCATGATACTAGTATGGAGTATCTTCAACAGTAAATCGCCACTACTGATTACTCCGATGAACTGTTGATTAGCCACTACAATATATGGGTTCCACAGAGTTCCATAGATTGGTAGATGTTCACAGAGTTTCTCTGGTACCCTCTGGTAATTTGTTACAGTTTGCTATTGAAAATGACCCAGTCGAAATAGTTGACTTTCCCAGCTCTAAAATGGTGGATCTTTCCATTATGTACCAGAGGGTAAATCCCATTAAATTCCATTAAACCACCATAAATCCTCATGAAAAATCACCATGTTCCTATGGTTTTCCTATGGTTTTCCTATGGTTTTCCTATGGTTTTCCTATGGTTTTCCTATGGTTTTCCTATGGTTTTCCTATGGTTTTCCTATGGTTTTCCTATGGTTTTCCCTGAAAATCATCCCCCAAGTCATGTCAGGCCTTGGATCTCCTGCGACCCATCGAGCCGAGCGGCAAACGAGCCGCCGCCACCTGTCGTATATGACGTCGTCGCGTTGCCGTGGGCCACGATAAGACACCCAACTGGTTTGGGATTACTGGGAATTTGATGGGATTTTATGAGATTTCATGAGATTTTAGGGATGTTATGGGATTTTATGAGATTTCATGAGATTTTAGGGATGTTATGGGAATTTGATGGGATTTTATGAGATTTCATGAGATTTTAGGGATGTTATGGGAATTTGATGGGAATGTTATGGGATTTTATGAGATTTTATGGGATTTTTATGGGAATTTGATGGGATTTTATGGGAATGTTATGGGAATTTGATGGGAATTTTATGGGATGTTATGGGAGTTTGATGGGATTTTATGGGAATGTTATGGGAATTTGATGGGATTTCATGAGATTTTATGGGATTTTATGGGAATCTTATGGGAATTTGATGGGAATTTTATGGGATGTTATGGGAGTTTGATGGGATTTTATGGGATGTCATGGGAATTTGATGGGATTTCATGAGATTTTATGGGATTTTATGGGAGTTTGATGGGATTTTATGGGAATCTTATGGGAATTTGATGGGAATTTTATGGGATGTTATGGGAGTTTGATGGGATTTTATGGGATGTTATGGGAATTTGATGGGATTTCATGAGATTTTATGGGATTTTATGGGATGTTATGGGCATTTGATGGGAATTTTATGGGATTTTATGGGATTTTATGGGAATTTTATAGGAATTTTATGGGAATCTTATGGGAATCTTATGGGATTTTATGGGAGTTTGATGTGATTTTATGGGAATCTTATGGGAATTTGATGGGAATTTTATGGGATGTTATGGGAGTTTGATGGGATTTTATGGGATGTTATGGGAATTTGATGGGATTTTATGAGATTTTATGGGATTTTATGGGAATCTTATGGGAATTTGATGGGAATTTTATGGGATTTTATGGGAATTTGATGGGAATCTTATGGGAATGTTATGGGATTTTATGAGATTTTATGGGATTTTTATGGGAATTTGATGGGATTTTATGGGAATGTTATGGGAATTTGATGGGAATTTTATGGGATGTTATGGGAGTTTGATGGGATTTTATGGGAATGTTATGGGATTTTGATGGGATGTTATGGGAGTTTGATGGGATTTTATGGGATGTCATGGGAATTTGATGGGATTTCATGAGATTTTATGGGATTTTATGGGATGTTATGGGAATGTTATGGGAGTTTGATGGGATTTTATGGGAATTGGATGGGATTTCATGAGATTTTATAGGATGTATTGGTGACAAATGGGAATTTAATCAACACGTATTCATGAAGATTACCCTCAGGCCCTCAGGTAGTTCAACAGTTTGCGAACAGGAAACCATGGCCCATTTATTGTTATACCATTGTTCTACCTATTATAAATTGTGATTTTCCGTAGGTATGTCAGTTTACCAGAGGGTAATCGGGTTAATTCTTTTTATATTCGTTGTCACATAGCTTCATTGGGACGTGGGGTTACCAAAGATAACTAACTACGACATCTACGGCTAGAGATGTAGTTTCATGGTTTGCCTTTTTTTTTGTCAAAAGAACGGATCCAGTCTTTTGGGCTTATGGGAATTTTCAAAATCACTCCAGAAGCTTTCCCCATAAGGTATCCGGATCCGCAATCAACTAACGTTTACCAATTTGCTTAATGGTTGCAATATCGATATATGCAATGTATAATGGGAATATGTAACCAAGTAACCAACTTATATTCTATCTTAAACACCAGACACCAAACTTAGTTTTTTTTTAAATACGAATCATATGTCGTTTTCCAAAGATTGGGTCTGTGGGAAATGACGATGAGGATAGACTGTGGGATGGAATGAGGCACCACTCAAGGCCTGTTAAGGCCTTCTCAACGGGCCGTTGTTTAGGCCAATGGCTTTTAAAAAAGCACATCACTTTCATTCAGCTATTACTGTACCCCTTAAGAACCCAAACTTTTTGCTAAGTACTAGACACTATATAACCACTATATACCCACTATATACCCACATCTTCGTTGTGGCAATGCCATCTTTGGGTCGGACTTTTTTTTTTAGTTGGATCAATTGGAGCCGAGGTCGTCGCAAGCAGATGCGACACCGTTTCACGCGAGGATTTTGAGGTTTTGGGGATCTGGTCATGAAACCGATGGGAATTTCACCATAAATTCAGTTCGGTAAATCAACGAACTTAGCGATGGCCATTTTTAAACCAGAGGGTACCCTCTGGGAATCAACGCTGGAAAATCCTCGAAAAAAATCGAGGTTTCGTTCGCTGGGAAAATCATCACTGGATATCAATGGTGGATGTTCCAGGCACGTTGAGAGTAAACAAATGCCTTGCTGACCATCAAAAATCTAAGGATCTCACAGAATTACGGATATTAGCCTCTGGCTATTTAAGATATATGGAAGCCAAGGCCCATTTATAGATGATGAATATGATGATTTACCTGTCAGTAATGGTGATTTTCCATAGCTGGATTAAATAAACGGTATTTTTCAATTTTGTATGCATGATGTATTATATATATGCACACGCACACACACACACCTACAACAGTATACCAACTAGAATGTGATCGTCCGCAATATTTCAGTCCTAAACACGGATCGTTCAATTTGGCTGTGAACAGACAGAACCTCAGAACCATCCCTTTCTTGGGCAGTGCCCATTGGATACCAATTGTTAAATTCAACGAAAGGGGCTGTACTACATCTGGTTGGTGGTTTGGAACATGTTTTATTTTTCCATATATTGGGAATAATCATCCCAACTGACTTTCATATTTTTCAAGATGGTTATTGCACCACCAACCAGACATGTTCTAATCCACTTATATTGGATAAGCCCCGGTTAGGGGACTTCCTAACCATATAGGGATTATGATGACACATTCAACACCCAAAAAAGAACCTCGTCAGTATGGATGATTCATGATGATTCCAACGGGCACCCTTACCGGCCACAGAACAGGAGAGATGGTACTGGAAGCAACATGAATTCATCGGCTTTGTACGACTTTTACAGAAAAAATAGTAGTGTGGTGATTCTGGGATAACCACTAATATGGGATGATTTTATGGGATATATATATATACTATCCAAATGACTGACATCTGCTATTAAATTCATGTTTCTACAAGTCAATGCCATTTATGCCACCCGATGGTAAAAAGACCATGTTTCTACCCGCATCAACATGGTAAATCTGGGGGTGGATCCCATGGCAGGCGCGAGTGCGAGAGGCACTCGATGCATTTGCACAGAAAAAATTGAGCAAGGCCCGCAGCAGCAGCTGGAAAAACTCCTGGTTGAAGCTGAAGCTGTCAAGGTTTAGGTTACAGTCACAGTTTTATCCCCAATATAGAAGCATATGATTTGATATATTTAATGCTTAAAAACTTAAAGTATGTGTTTAAATGGGAATATCATGGTTGTCTAACTGTTACACCCTTGGAACCAGCGCCAGCCAGTCATGTCATTCCATTCAGCGACTCCAGGTGGTGCTTGCACGTCGCATGCTTTTAAACCTTGTATGGCGCGAGGCGACACCGGCGCGACGGCGTGGGTGTTCCAAAAAGAAGGATGCTGTAATTCGTTGGTGCAATAGGATCCACCATCCCATTTTTTTGTCAGAATTATGATGGGTGGGATTCGAACTGTAAACAACATGATCAACATGTCTGGTTTATGACATTGCTTTACTAGGATTTGATTGTGGTACAAGTTTTATACTTGGTAGCTGTTTCCGAAAACTGGGCGATTCGCCACATGTACACTGTGTACACTGTGGTGGTTGATTTATGGTGGTCGATCCGTTGTGGATTCCCAGTTTTTATCTTTAGATCCTCTATCTCCGTTGGGTACCTTATTCCTACTTTTGCTGGGTATCTTGAATTGATGTACGAACATGTGTCCTGGTCACATCCTTCTTTTCTTGCTGAAACCAAAAATTGGTTGCCAGAATTAATCATTTTTTATGCCAACTCTTTTTATAACAGTTTAACCAAAGATCTGCTGGTTTTTCCCACCTTTCCTTTAGTAAAAATCCATAAAAATCATGAACGTAGGTTTTCCATAGGTTTTCCATAGGTTTTCCATAGGTTTTTCCGGTTTTCCTGCTGGTTTCCCCATGTTTCCTTCGCCAGGACGCGCCAGAGCTCATGCGCCAGGTAAGCTTCCACCAGAGTCGTCAGCTAACTTGGTCCATATTCATAGACACGATATATAGATATCTATATCTACAATGTGTATGTATAATATATCTATATCTACAATATATATATATATACATTAATATTATACATTATTTACAAGAATATATATATATATATATAATATGTTATATATATAATAATGTTTACATACAGATATATTCAGTGTTTATACTGCACAGTAAATTGCCATCAGCCGACGTCGTTGGTTGGGATCAGGGGAACCTGCCGCTCAACGGTCGCAGCTTCTTTCAGGATCACTCGTGGAGAGACCCCGTGCTCCGCGTTTACACGTTGTGTTTGGAGTTCAGCTGAAACCACGCAGAGATGTGTTGATTCAAACATGGTCAGCATGAAATTTCGACGCTTTTTGGGAATTCACCATAAAAACTTGCCGCCATGTGGAATCTTTGGGACTCGCAGGAGAATCAAATCCATCCGAACAGTCCTGGCCTTGCCCCAGCGTTGCAGCGTAGAGGGTTCCCATTCCCAATCAAATGTTGTTGCAACTTTACATTCAATTGGGAAGACCAACAAAGGTATTAGGGAATATTAAAATCCCACCACCCCTGTTAAACTCTACATTCAACTGGAAAGATCAACAAAGATATTCGGGAATATTAAAATCCCACCCCCGTTAAAATTACATTCAATTGGGAAGATCAACAAAGGTATATTATTAGGGAATATTAAAATCCCACCCCCATTAAACTATACATTCAATTGGGAAGATCAACAAAGGTATTGGGGAATATTAAAATCCCACCCCCCTGTGAAACTTTATACATTCAACTGAGAAGATCTAGCAAGGTATTCGGGAATATTAAAATCCCACCCCGTTAAAATTTCATTCAATTGGGAAGATCAACAAAGGTATTAGGGAATATTAAAATCCCACCCCCGTTAAACTTTACATTCAACTGGGAAGATCAAGAAAGGTATTCGGGAATACTAAAATCTACATTCAGATGATGATGATGATGATGATGATGATGATGATGATGATGCTGATGCGTTGCCCGTTGTCGTTGCGGTTCAGGGCAAAGCCCAGGCATTTGCCATATATATATATGATATATATATATATGATATATATATATGATATATATATATGATATATATATATATGATATATATATATATGATATATATATATATGATATATATATATATATATGATATATATATATGATATATATATATGATATATATATATGATATATATATATGATATATATATATGATATATATATATATATCATATATATTATATATGTATATATTTTTATATGATACATATATATATATATGATATATATATAGACAGATAATATATATATATATGTGTTTATATATATATATATGTATATATAGGTCCCCCCAAAAGATTGAAAAGTAAATCCCTACTACCCTTCTATCCATAGCTTACACTTCCTTTGAGGGATGAGTTTTTGGTTAAGGGCAGCAGTTGTAGAATCAGTGGAGAGCATGGTTGATCTTTCAGGGATAGATTTCACCCAGTTTGCCCGGGTGCAACCCGGCTGCAATCGAGTATCCAGATCAAAATCCGTTCTATAGATGATTTGCCAGTCATATTCCAGGCTTTTCCAAACTTTGCCGATTTCAACCATTGTCAGCCCCTGTGATTAGTGCTAACCTGGATAATCAACAGCCAGTTCCTTTTTTTGGGTGGGATACCACAACTTCATAATGATTTACAGTGGTTCGGAGTGAGCTAAGGAGCTTTAATGGTATCCATATATAAAAATGGGGAGCCAGTTGGATGAGTGTCCGGGCATTTGAAGCAGCTTGTTGGTAAGTTCTATTCCACCATTTCCCCATTAGTCCCATCTCCATGCATCGATGATTTTTTGGACTATTTTTAAGGATGATTTCCCATTCTATCTATAGGTTTATAGTATTTTTTTTTTTTAAATAGAACCTTTGGTGAGTTATATCCCTATATGTATATATACATATATTCCCATGATAGCTACTATACTGTTACTATACATTTTCATTTTTAAAAACGCCGCAAGGCGCGGGTCATGACTTGAAGTCGCGAAGCCGCTTTCTCAGGAGGAAGCTCCACCGGCTCCCCCGCGGTCCTCCATCTTTGCAGCCCAGCAACGTTAACGGCGGTTGGTTTTTTGTTGACACAACGTTGGACTGGGAAAACCATAGGAAAATGGTGATTTAATGAGGGTTTATGGTGGTTTAATGGGATTTAATGGGATTTACCCTCTGGTAAACAGCCACATAGCGAACTGGAAAATCACCATCTTTCATAGGTAAATCAACGAACTAAATGGGCCATGTTCAATAGCTATGTTAAATTACAAGGGGGTACTCATATGTGCTTGTCAGATGTGTATATTTCTATATATGTATATGATATACACGTATATTGTATATGAATATGGGTGAAATGATGTCAAGATCTGAAAGCAGCAAGATGGGAGCAACATCAGCCACGACGGCTGAAATCAACTGTTTAAGTGCGTGGTTCCCAGTATCGTCCTCTTAACTTTTAACTGAGTTATGTCTCCCAACTCATTAGTGAGTCCCCCAACATTTTCACTGATCGTATACCCTCTGGTAATTTAACATAGCTATTGAAAATGACCATAGAAATAGTGGATTTTCCCATGAAACATGGTGATTTTCCATAGTTTTTTGTATGTTTACCAGAGGGTATTCCTGTTCAGAGGATTCATGAAGGACGACCAGCAGTGATCGTTCGTGTTTTTCTTGCTCCTGAATCGTGCAAACTGATGTTTTTTCAACCACTTGGGGTTGCAGTTGAGGTTACAAATGGATGGCCAACCATGGTCATAAACCCATCATGAGGATATAACCCTAAACCCTAACTATGGTTATATATCCACATATATATCTACTTAGTTCACTGGAACTGCACTTCCCACCAGGGGAACTATAGGCTGGTTTTTGCCATGGCGAAAAGGGTTAGCTACTGAGGTGATGCGCAATGGTCGCTATGAGCCGCAAAATCTGATGCCAGTGCAGGGCTCACATGGGGAGTTTCTGAAGAAATGGGGTATCCTCCCAGAATATCCATTAGTAGTGGTTAGTAATGATTAATTGTGGTTAGTAATGATATGGGGGTTTACCCCAATAGCTGGATGGTTTATTTCAGGGATTTTCTCCCATCCAGAAATGGATGTTAACGAGGGGTACCCCCATGACTTAGGAAACCTCCATGATTGTGTTTGTGGAAGTATAAACCGATATATTTTCAGACAAAAAAAACGTGTTGAAATGGTGGATTTACCGGGATGTGTGGGAAAATGATGTGATAAACCATGTAATTTGGGTATTTTCACAGCCCAATCCCTATGACCTGAAGCCAAAGAGCCTCCATTGGTACCTGGTAATCTTTGGTCCCCGGTACGAGAATGCTCGGGGAAACGACTTGGATGATGGGACTTCATGCTTGAACCGTTGAGAAAAAATGAGGGTAAAAAAGCCAGCCACTTTGCGGTTAAGATGTTTCCTCAAAAGAGTCCATTAGTTGCTTATATCCCAATGTTCGCCGTATTTTCATGGTGAATTCCACACTTTCATATAGTTTCCTTCTGGTTAATCTCATATATTCAATTGAAAAAATAACTAGTTATTGCCTATAGTTCGATCTTTTTTTTTGTTGGTTGTCATCCATTCCAACTATTGAGACAAAGCCAACAGGGAACAGTGTTCAAAATCCCTGCTGGTTGATTGTTATAATGAGTGTTCTAGTATCCAATTATATTGCGGATGATCACAATCTATGAACTGGGTAATCCGTTCTTAAACAAACCGTTGTATGAAGGAACGCCATGAGAAAATTTCGATGAAAACAAAAAAACAATTTCCAGTACCTAAACTGGAGCTACTGTACCATATTTCAAGCCAGATTTCAGCGGTATATTCCCACAAACACAGCTCTTACATATGTATATATATAATTCTACATATATATATATATGGTAGGTATCTCCAGTTTAGATACCCGACATGTCCATTATGGGACATCAGGTACCAACCAATAGCCTCCGGCAGTACATGACTTCCTGGATCAAAAATCCCCATCTGTTGAAGATGTTTGACGGGATTCGCCACGTTGGACAGAGGGTAAAGTTGTGAAAAGTATCCCGCTGTTCATATCCCCATTGTATAGAGTTTCCATATGTTTCCATTGTGACTGGTGAATCCTGATGATCTTCCTATGAAAGATCCCCATTCTTCACTATGAAATCACTATAGATCCAGCATTTTCCAATGAGGTCCCAGGATCCTCCCATGGTTAAATTCCCATGAGATTCCTTGGTGGCTCATCCCACGGCTCGTACATGGATTATGACCCCGCTTATGGCATAAATAGGGTGAATCCACTCCAAAAAATTGGGGTGAACTAAGCCACTTAGTGGGATGAGCCACCAAGTAGTAAACAAATGTGGATTAGAACTCCAGTTATAAGTGGATTCACTTGAGCCATTAAAAATACCCTGGTTAATTGATTGCTATAGGGGATTATACTACCTGGTCTACTGGGGATTATGATAACCCTTAGTAGGGAAACCTATCAACCAACTAGTATTTCATGAGATGGGAAAACGGGGTATTTTTCATGGCTCACTTAAACTAATCCCTAGGTTGATAGGTTTCCCTATCTCATGCCATGTTAATAAATACACCCTATCTCATGAAACTACTAATAGCCTTAATGGTTCATAGTGGGTTAAGAATAGTGTTTTATGGTTAATAATGATTAAATCACCCATTACTAAGAGGCTCTCACCCATGGAAAATGACCCATTTATAGATGATTATCCCAGCTACAAACCTCCATTTATTTTCGGGATTTTCCAGTTCGCCATGTTAGTCATGCCCAGAGGCTAATCCCTATTGATCATACCATATGATACCCCAGTTATATATATATATATTAATATATATATATTACTATTAATATTATTAATATGTATACATATATATATATATATTACTATTAATATATATATATATTAATACATATATATATATATACATCGGATTTCCCAGTTGTTAAGGCAAGCGGTTGTGAAAAGCAACTTCAGGTCATGCCTCGTCCGGACATCTTGGACTTTGATGGCTTTGTGTTGCGCCGTGGAGCCGCGAATCGTGGGGGCCTCAGGGGGGCGCTCGGGGTGGTGAAAAAATCCATGGTGTTTTTGTGGGTAAAACAATGCCATAAACCACCCGGATTTTTTTTTTCGGGGAATGGTAAGTTTCTAGCACCTATAAGAATGGTGATGACTGGAGGATGGTTTATGGCATTGTTTTACACACATTAATATGACAATTCCATGGTGAATGCTTAGATTCCAGATCATATATAGGGTTTCCATAACTTTTATAAATGACACTTCTATGTTTAAAAGCCAAGTCTTAAAATATGAACAATTCATATTACAGTAATTCATTGTGACAACACATGAAAAATCCATGGTTAATGAAAAGTTTGAGATACGCTTTATATAATTATACCGGTGTATTATATATATATACACAATATTTCTCTATCATTACATTCTGGTATTCCTTGTTGCCTAGCACACTTGTTCTTTTGAGTGATACTTGGGGTTCGGGTATTGACGGTTCCGGTAGCTTCGTGTTTGGCAGAATCTTGCAACGGCGCTCTCGGGGGAAGTCCAAAAATCCAAACGTGCAGGGTTTCACTTAGAACTTGCCAGGATTTTCAACTGTGAACATACCCTCTGGTAAACATGCAAAAAGCTATTGAAAATGGCCATAGAAATAGTTGATTTACCCATTAATTAAAAATGGTGATTTTCCATAGTTATGTAAACGTTTACCAGAGCGTATATTCATTACATGGCTGAATCAGTTGAGCTTATATATCCTGAGGCTATCTTCACTGGATGTCAATCCATTTTTTTTTCATCCATAGAAATCCAATCATTCCAATCCCATGGCTGACCAGATGTTTCTTGGGTGTATTGCATGTATTGTTCCCCACCTGCCAGGTGAGGGTTGTTAGATTTTATGTCAGTTGCCTCCTCCTCCTCCTCCTCTCCTCCTCCTCCTGCTCCTCCTCCTCCTCTCCTCCTCCTCCTCGTCCTCCTCGTCCTCCTCGTCCTCCTCGTCGTCCTCGTCGTCGTCCTCGTCGTCCTCGTCATCCTTGCTCAACTGCGACTCGCGATCCACAGTGTTCTCTGCCGGACCTCAACCACGACCATCCACGCCCAGTGTTCCCTGCCGGACCTCAACCACGACCATCCACGCCCAGTGTTCCCTGCCGGACCTCAACCACGACCATCCGCGCCCAGTGTTCCCTGCCGGACCTCAACCACGACCATCCGCGCCCAGTGTTCCCTGCCGGACCTCAACCACGACCATCCGCGCCTAGTGTTCCCTGCCGGACCTCAACCGCGAGTATCCATGCCAAGTGTTCCCTGCCGGACCTCATGTAGGAATGTCAGATAGACTGCCAGATAGAATGCCAGATAGAATGTCAGATAGGATGCCAGATAGAATGCCAGAAAGAATGCCAGAAAGAATGCCAGAAAGAATGCCAGATAGAATGCCAGATAGAATGTCAGATAGGATGCCAGATAGAATGCCAGATAGAATGCCAGAAAGAATGCCAGAAAGAATGCCAGATAGACTGCCAGATAGAATGTCAGATAGAATGTCAGATATAATGCCAGATAGAATGCCAAAATATATGTCAGATATAATGCCAGATAGAATGCCAGAATATATGTCAGATATAATGCCAGATAGAATGCCAGAATATATGCCGGATATATGCAGATAGAATGCCAGAATATATGTCAGATATAATGCCAGATAGAATGCCAACATATATGCCAGAATATATGTCAGATAGAATGCCAAAATATATGTCAGATATAATGCCAGATAGAATGCCAGAATATATGCCAGAATATATGTCAGATAGAATGCCAGAATATATGTCAGAATAAATGACAGGTAGAATGCCAGAATATATGTCAGATGAAATGTCAGAAAATATGTCAGATAGAATGCCAGATAGACTGCCAGATAGAATGCCAGGTGGAATGTCAGGATATATGCCAGATAGAATGCCAGAATATATGCCAGAATATATGTCAGATAGGATGTCAGAATATACTAAATATATGTCCAAATATACGTCCTGACATGTCATGGTGGGGATCACACGAAGTAGAGTAATTTTTTTTTTGGTACCATTTTGGAGATTTTGAACATCGCTTTCAAGTAGCTGGAGATGACATACCCAGGATGATGTTCACTGAGGACATTTGCCCCCTCAAATTCAATGGTTTGTTTACGCCTACAGTAGCTAATAAGTCCAAAAATTCCTTGGAGTATCCCATTGATCAATGGGTGAACTCACTTCCCCTAAGTATTAGTTGTTCCATCTGGTTGGTTGGTGGTTATGTTTCCATATATTGGGAATTTCATAATCCCAACTGATGAAGTCCATCATTTTTCAGAGGGGTAGGGCGCAAAACCACCAACCGGTAGTTATCCACTCACCGAGGTGCACCCGTGAGGCCACCTGATCTGCGACAGGTGCGCGCAATTGCCATGGTAACTTGGAAACCAAAAAAGTCTTTTTAAGGAGATTTTTTTGGGTACATTTGGATAAATATTTACCATTAATACCACTATCCATTAACTAGCATAAGATGAACTGCATGGTATAGTGGATCCCAACTAGAAAAAATCATATCTTATCATGAGTATATTTTTCTTGGCATTTGTTATAAAATGACATCTCGGGCCAGGCGTCTTTGGTGAAGAGCTCCATCAGCTTGCGCAAAGCAACGGTGCAGGATCGATGGACCGAGACATGGGGAAATGCCAGGGAGATCTGGGAGGTCGGTGATCGGATGGTCAAGGTTGGATGATGATTTTACCCTCTGGTAATTTGTTACGTAGCTATTGAAAATGACCATTTATAGTGGATTTTCCCATGAAAAATGGTGGATCTTTCCATAGTTATGTTAAATTACCAGAGGGTAGATCTAAATTTTCCGCACATATTTTGTTGTTCCATTTTTGTTTTTCAAGTTTGGGAAGCTCATGGTTTTTTAAACGGGTACTCCAAGTTTGTTGATTCAGCCCTTGTGATCCAGGAGGTGTGATGGTGAACTGGGATGAATCAATTGTGCCGTTTGGAAATGGGGTAGCCAGTGCTTGTCTGATGTGGTTTTCATCGATGTTCCTCATTTCATGTTACAGGAAAAATTATTCCAGGTGTATTCCCAGTATTACCCATAGGATCCATGGTGCTGGTATATATGCTTACATGACTGGGGTATATTGATGGGATCAATGTTACCATTAATATAGCAGCACCATGGATCCTATGGGTTATCTCATATAAAAAATAGTGGGTTGTATATCCCCTGATATCCGATATGATATCCCTTAAGATTCCAGTGGCTTTATGCCTCCATCTCCAGCGCGCCTCCTTGCGAGGCAAAACCAGCGCCTGGTGGCTCAGTGGCGCAAAAAATGTGGGCGATTTGGCAACAGATGGCACCACCAAAAATATGGCATGTTCATTCACATTTCGATAGGAGAAACATTAGGATAAACCACTGGATCTTGGGATAGCCGAAATTCATCTTTTTGAGAGAAAGCTTGTACTTCTTGCCATTTTCTGCAACCCAGGTATAAATGGGTTCCTACCATTCTCCCAAAAAATCTCCCATTTCTAGTGAAATCCATTGAAATCTCCATTCTTCATGGTAAATTCCCCATGTTTGATGCTAAAAAATCACCAGCGGCTCCAGCTATAGGACTTCCTCTGGCCCCGCATCGCCAAGCGCGGGAGGCGGGCGAACTGGTGATTTACCATGGAACCTTCAAGGGTCGGGAAGGAAAATCGCTTGTTTCGTTTATTTTTCAGCACATTGAAACGATATGGAATCATGCATGCCAAGTTAAAATCATCTGGTATATCTGGGAGGGTCAACATATGTCAAGATAGGTCGATTTTTCACCATCTGCGACCATCTGGTGGTAAAGACATATCGATTTAATCGTGGAAATTGAAATCGTGACATGGCAGCCGGGTGACCCACCAACTTGGTCATTTTTAGGATGGGAACCCATGAATGTGATATAACCATATATTCATGATTATTCGAGGAAGGATGTCGGACCTCCCTTTTTTTTTAGCGTTGATTTCAAAGTTTAGGATCACTATAGATTCCCCTTTGTCATGAACTCTTCTAGATTTTTGAAGATACGCATTCTGCTTCGAAGGTCATGTCATGTTATGTCTCCATTTCTATGAACTACATCCATTTTGTGTGTCTTAAAGTGGGGGATGCCCTCCAAATCGTCATGTTTTATCATGTTTTATTGCAGACAATGATGAATCCTCCCCTATCCATGGCCATCGTCGTGGTCTCCCAGTCAGGTCCAATCATCATCACCTTCGTCTACGATGCGCTACAAGCCGGACAATTGTGCAGCCAGACATGTTTGAAACATTTTGAAACGGAGAAAACAGCACGGGATGTTTTTGTTTTTCTAAATATGTGGAGCGCTTGGATGCTTATACCTGCGGGATTCACTACAAGCGAACCACATCAAGGGGACCCCCATTTCCGACTGGCTTGGTTGGGACTCTCACAGCGGACATTTCCGCAACTCGAATGCGAGGAACTGATGGGACATGATGGAACTGTTCTGGCAATTTTTGGTGAAATCATGTTGAGATCTACCCTCTGGTAAACTAACATAGCTATGGAAAATCACCATTTTTAGTGGGAAAACTCACTATTTCTATGGCCATTTTCAATAGCTACGTTTGACATAACCAGAGGGTATTTTGATGTCGACATGTCCAAGTTGGATCCCATGAGCCAGATCCTGTGGCGATTTCTGTGTCTCTGGCCATGAAGTGAAGAATTTTTAGCCACATAAAATAGCAGAATATTGACATGCTGTGGTGATTTTAAAATGGCTCGTTTTGGTTGATTTTTTCCATTCTATACGCAAAATCTTCGAACATGGTCAAGTTACTGATGCTATTCGGAAGTTGGTGCCAGCTAACCTAGGCTCTTTTCGAATCATCCCAATCCCAACTTCGGAGTCTGCAAACTCTGGCAGCTGAAAGCCGCCAGGTCCTTGTATCTCCGCGTGATAGAGGCTGAGATTCAGTCATCCACTGGACATCGACCGTGGTAGTCGTCGTGATGTTTCATGGTTTAGGAAGAGGTTGATGGTGAAAACCATACCTGGTTTGTCGCAAATCCATGGCTGGTTTTTATGCTGGTCAGGAACAACTTTTCTGAATCGTGATGTGGGGACAGGCCGTAGCACGCAGAAGTCCAGAAATAGGGGTGACATCACTGGAATGAGAGCAACAGGAAATAGTTCACACCAAAAAACCATCGGAAATGAGCAATGTCTTGCAGGGTTCACCTTCATCATTCTTGGTGATATTGCCATTTCGGGGATTGAGACCAATTTTTCGATGGGGTCATAATGTAATCATTAATTATCCCTCTTTTGGAGGGTAACCACACAGCTTTTCCTGGTTCACCCCCTGCTATGATTCTCATTTTTGTTGCTTCAAACACGTTTTTTTAGACGTAATCCTCATGTCTCCTACACACCCTCTGGTAAACTAACATAGCGCACTGGAAAATCACCATTAACAAATTGGTACAACATCTATTTCTATGGTCCATCTATACCATAGCAAACTGTTTTTCCATAACCAGAGGGTAGTTTCCGCTGTGCACTTTCGCCCAGGTGGAGCACAATGATACCGAGTCCGACTCGACCCAGACGGGATGATTGCCTCGGGAAAAAAACATGGTGTCATCAGACATGGAGAATTTCCACCAGTTCGTTCGGCTGGATCTTAGCGAACTTCTCCATTTACACCAAAAACAACCAAAAAAATCCTCAATTTCCCAGGTAAATCATGTTTTTTTTCATGTTCGTTTGGCACCTCACTGTCCGTTGGCACCACCAAGGCCGGGGGGTCCAGTGCGACGGCGAGTGGAGCTGACCGCGGAAGGCTCGGAGGGATCGGCGTCCGGGCCCCAGAGAGCATTCAGGTGGTTTCTAACCAGCTTAAGGATGGTTTATGGTAGATATATACTTGTTGTTGGTTTGGAACATTTTCTATTTTCCATAATATATGGTTTGGAACATTTTTCATTTATTTTCACAAATAGGAATTAGTGGTTTAAGCCATAGGAAAACAATAGGAAAATGGTGGTTTAAAGAGTTTTTATGGTGGTTGAATGGGATTTAATGGGAATTACCCTCTGGTTTATGATATATATATATATAATATCTATAGTCTATAGTATTCATGAATATCTATATCATGATATATCTATAGTATTCATGGATTAATACTACCATATATGGTTTATGGTACCATCTGGTTATTTAACATAGCCATGGAAAATCCCGAAAATAAATGGAGGTTTGTAGCTGGGAAAATCATCTATAAATGGGCCATTTTCCATGGCTATGTTAAATAACAAGAGGGTAGATGTATGATACTTAATGAGGTTTATAAACTATGGTTTATTGTAGATGTATCTATAGTATTCATGGATAATATATAATACTTATGGTATATGACATATGATGGTTTATGGTAGACCCATATGCTCCATGTGTGGAATATTTACCTAAAAAACTGGACAATTTTTGGGGTAAATGTTGGTACATATTCCATACATGGAGCATATGGGTATGGTTTATGGTAGATGTATCTATAGTTAGTTAATGGGATAATTTATAAACCAACTTGATAGCGTTTAGTTGCCTTATATGTTTCTATGGCTGAATGAACTATGGTCGTTGGATAGCGTTCAGTTGCCTTATTTCTATGGTTGAATTCTATGGTCTATGCTAGATATTAAACTTTCTAGTATTCTTGGGGTGAAACTAAACCAACATTCACATCACGAAAACATGGCACCATCCTGTTTTTCCGCAAGTTTGGGGATGTTCAATCAAGGCTGAAGCTTGGCGACTCCAATAGAAGATTAGCCCTGAAATCGTTGCGGGTAAAACTGTCAGATACTGTTTCATTAACCATCATTAGGGGATAATAGTTAATGATGGTTAATGATTGTTAATATCCCATTAATTGGTTTAGGGAATAATAGCAGGATAATCATGGTATAATGGGATAATCATGGGACACTACTGGGATGTCATAAACCAGCCATGACTGGGAAGGGTAAGTTTATACCACCTATAAAAATGGTGATGACTGGGGAATGGTAAACATGGCATTGTTTTTGCCTAAATTTTTAGCCTTTTCCATGAATGAAGAAGTATTCCCTTTTTCCTTCTTGGATTCATCTGAACATGGGATATCATTTTCCCCCGTGGAATTCCCCCTTTCAAAACATGGGATTCCCCTCGAGTACTGTAGTTCCAGATGGCAATACCCGACAATGCAACACATCCAATTTCAATGTGAAAGCTATCTATCTATCTTATCTTATCTAATCTCAATCTAATCTAATCGAATCCAATCTAATCTAATCTAATCTAAATTAATCTATCTATCTAATCTATCCTATCCTATTCTCTTCTCTTCTATTCTAATTGTAATTCTAAATCCATTCTATTCTATTCTATTCTAATTGTTTCTATTCTCTTCTATTCTAATTCCAGTCCTCATTCTAATTGCATTCTATTCTATTCTATTATTTATCTAATCTATATCTAATCTATATCTAATCTAAATCTAATCTAAATCTAATCTAAATCTAATCTAAATCTAATCTAAATCTAATCTAAATCTAATCTAACCTAATCTATCTATCTAATCTACCCTATCATATCCTATTCTCTTCTCTTCTCTTGTATTCTATTGCTTTCTATTCTATAATTCTATTCTATTCTATTCTATTCTAGTCTAGTCTAGTCTATTCTATTCTATTCTATTCTATTCTATTCTATTCTATTCTCTATCTAATCTAAATCTAATCTAATCCAATCCAATCCAATCTAATCTAATCTAATCTAATCTATCTATCTGATCTAATCTATCTAAATCTAAATCTAAATCCAATTCTAAATCTAAATCTTAAATCGTAAATCCTAAATATCTATCTAGCTATCTAGCTATCTAGCTATCTAACTATCTAGCTATCTAGCTATCTAGCTATCTAGCTATCTAGCTATCTAGCTATCTAGCTATCTAGCTATCTAGCGATCTAGCTATCTAGCTATCTAGCTATCTAGCTATCTAGCTATCTAGCTATCTAGCTATCTAGCTATCTAGCTATCTATCTAGCTATCTATCTATCTATCTATCTATCTATCTAAAGATGAGCCTATTCATTGCGATGTTTTTTCGTGCTGGAGGGTGAAAGGGGCTACCGGGTTGACAAACCTCACAAAACAAAGGAAGGTTGGCCTTTCAGGTCCGCACCCTCAACATATCAAGTGGGTTCTCTGGGTAAATTACAACGACCGAACCCTGTTCTCCCTCACTGGAATCATGGTTAATAAGGGGAATCATCCCAAAATGGCCGCAAGATTCAGGTGAACGTGAAATATTCTAATTTACCCAGGGTTATATATATATATATCCCATCTTAAGTATTCAATCTAATTCTTAATGGTTCAATCCAAATTCCTATCTTGGGACGCATTGAGCCATTAAACATATCTTGGTTGATTGTTAAAGACAAGGGACTTATACACTCCATTTGGAAACTCAATGCGCTCACTTGCTTCGCTTGCGTTTAGGTGGGGGGACAGATTTCTGGAAGTCGGTGCGTGCTGCGTCCAGGTGGTGTTTTGGAAATACATGTTTTGATCATTGGTATTTTTATGAATTTATTTTAACCTGCATTTTGTTTTTGCTTTGGCATTTTCCTATTGTGTAAACAATTCCATTGGGGTGTTGGATTCTGACCCAGACTTCAATCTCACCCTGTCGCTTAGGGCCTCAGGGCTGGTCAAAACCCCTGTTGGTTGATGATTAATTCGGAGATTATTTTCTACGCTTGAAAAAAATATTGGGGATCATGAATCATAATCCAAGAACGGGGAATCCCATGCTTAACCATGATTAAATGGAATGATATTTCGGGATTTATTTCACACTGCTCACATGTCTATGATGGGTTGCAGTCCCATTGTGGGCACCAGATTTTGTTGGATGAACGGCCAATCTCTTATTTTTTGTTGCCAACATATACCCTCTGGTAATTTAACATAGCTATTGAAAATCACCATTTATAGTGGATTTTCCCATTAAAAATGGTGATTTTCAATAGCTATGTTAAATTACCAGAGGGTATAATCATATGTTTATTGGCCTACGTTTTTGGATGACGCAACGAAAAGACGGGTGGCAACTCTGGCGGAAAAAATCCATTGAGGTCTGCTGGAAGCACTGATCGGCTGGCAACTCAGAAGCCAAAATTTGGGATTTGACCATGGCGGCCATGAATTTGCGGAACATAAAGATGATTCAACCAACAAACATGAGGAATCATGAGAATATATATATAGATATATATTTAAAACCAGCCATAATGGAAGTAGGATGGAATGCTGTATTATATATCTGTATATGATAGAGATGTGAAGGGTATTTTTTCGGTTCACCATGGGAGAAATCATCAGAAACTCAGGGTGTAATCAACCAAGATGGTGGTGCAATCAAGAATTACATTGGTAAAAACATGTAAAAACATGGGGGATGTACCCTCTGGTAATTTGTTACATAACTATGGAAAGATCCACCATTTTTCATGGGACATTTCATTATAAATGGTGATTTTCCATAGTTCTGGGAAATTACCGGAGGGAAAGTGTTGGGGTTGTGCCAACAGAAGGAGTCTAACCAACGAACATGTCTTTGTGAAGAGAACGGTGGCGATTGAACCAAAAACGACAGGAATATGACCAACCTTGACCAACCTTGAGATTTGACGAGAAAACATTGGCTGTGTCCACAAATCCAAGAATTGTGTGGTTTAAATTGTTTGTTTGTTTTGCCGAAAAAACCGGCGTTTTCTCCCAGCTTCCTCCAGCGCCAGGGTCGCGTTGGCAGCCATCCCTCTGCACGAGATGCGTTTTGAGAAGGGCTTGGGCCAGGCCATGGGGTCCATGGGGCCCATCTTCAACTAGAATCCCAGGACGAACAGAACCAACAGATAAGCCCAGATTCCTGCAAGTTTTTTAAAGGTCAAGTGCCAGAGTTTTCGGAATGTTATTCTCATGGTTTGAAAACAGTTGTAGATGAATCACATTCAAAATCATTCAAGTAATGGCACTAAGAGGGGAACTATGGTTGGAATGCCCCTGACCACTGGTTCTGCGGATCTTTTGACAGTTTCTCTGCAACCCGCCCCACACGCCTCGTCGCGGCTTTTCTGGCTCTTTCTAGACTAGGGGTCTATAAGGGACTTGGTCAGTTACACCATGGGTCAGTGTCACATTGGGCCTACCAGGGCAGGCTATCACAGCACGGGACACGGCACGGGACACGGCACGCGACACAGAAGTTTCGCGCTATTCGGCGGTCCTGGTTCCTTCCGGGATCTGCCCATGGAGAGACCAAGTGGATCAAGTGGATCAAGTGGATCCAGTGGCAAAAGGTGCCGTGGGTTGTCATGACTCGGTGACCCGTGATGAGAAGAACAAGGTGAATCTATTGAGTTTGGGCCGAATATGATGAACATTTCTGAGATTTCAGGGCTTTAAGAAGCTTCAGTTTATACTTATGTAGCCTTTGGCATGGTTTTCCACGATGGAGAATCCGCAAGGGGTCGATCGATGTTCACAGATGCCCACCTGGTAGGACGGGATCCGAAGCTGCTGATATTCAGCAGCACGTGATCTTCATTGAAAGAGCTGGTTCTTTGCTGGCTGTGCCCGTGGATGGCTGGCACGAACAAGTAGACCTGAGTCGATCTAGGTGCGCCGGGGCCCAGGTGCAGGAAGGGTAGGAGCCACCAGTCAGAGGTTGCTGGGGCGAGCGATGTTTGGATATTGCGCGATGTTTGGATTGCGAAGGGAATTGAGCTGCAAAACAATCTGCAAACATGTTTTTTTCCCCAAATTCAACCATCCTTTTTGGTGTGATTCTATTCGCCAATCATGCTCTCTCTCCGATTTTTGACCGGGTTTTCGACAGTTTTTGTTGCCTCCAGGCCGGTGAAGGTGACCTTTAAATGCGTGAATCCTCCAGATCGGCCACTGGGCAAAATCCGATTTCGACTGGGCCGTGATTTCGGGGCTTAACACGGCCCCCGCTGGGTGAAAGTCTTCCCAGGTCGGATGCAAAGGAAAGCTGCGACGCACCTTGGGTGACAGACTTTCGGGACCTGGGACCTTGAAGAACAAGACTTTATTACAACATTTAACTGGTTGGTGGTTTGGAACATTTTTTATTTTTCCATATATTGGGAATAGTACTGTAACCCCAACTGACTAATATTTTTCAGAGGGGTTGAAACCACCAACCAGACTTTTATCGCTTGGTCTGAAATTAAGATGAACATGACAATTAGTTTGAGGATATATCGAAAAATATTGAAAGACGTGGTCTACCACCCAATTGATGGCTGTTTCGAACAATTACAGTAACGATTGACATTTTGAGGATTTGAAGTGCTTCTTTCGTGGTGTGCTAATGCAGCAACCCCCAAAAGGGTCGAAAAGAATCCAAAAGCCTGGAAAAATTGGGGGAAGCATCATTATATTATCATCTTGGAATCACTCCATGTTTTTTTTTCCCGGTTGCTCTGTTATTGATGCTTTCATTAGGTGCAGTTGAGACACCCCAGATATCCAGATGAAGGTTTAGAGCTGGGTTGTTTCATAGGCATAGGGGAACCATGAAGACTAACGATATAGCGATGAAAGCTCTGTCTCTGGGTGGCCTGAAAAGGTATCACCACGAGTCACGCGTCTATCATGTTTGTTGACATCATTATTTAATTCAAGCTAGAGTTGGAAAAATCGATGAACATGGGACACTTTTAACATGCTTGCTCCAGCCTTTTTTAATCAGTACATTGTACATGGTAGCTACATTTTTTTTTGGGAAATCGCTACAATGTGGGGCCTGTTAGTTATGATTGTTGGTTTAGTTTCACCGCATGAATACATATGAATACAAATTTGTTATATATGTATGTATATAATTGTATATAGTTACATAATATTTATCCATATATCATAAACATTCATAAACCCTAGCTAACTGGAGATTCATTGGAGTTATAACTATGTTTATTCATATAAACCCATGGGTTATCTCCAAGGCGGGATCAGGATCCGTCAGCTCGGTCTCCGAGATCACAGGCGCTTACGTTAGTTCGCTCTCTGAGATGTTGGTAGTTGTGGTAGTTATATATAAACAAGTTATAAAATGTGCTGAAGATATGTAAAGATATGTATATATGATAAACAAACAGGGTATATATCTTATATATCTTATATATCTAGATATAGATAGATAGATTGATAGATATACTGATATATGTAAAAACCATGATTTGTAAAAGCAAAAAATCAAGATATGTCTTCAGACAGGCAGTCCTGAGAGTCACGATGTCTTGGCGTCCGCGACTCGACTTGGATGCTGAGGATGCCACGCCGGTGCCCCATGTTGCTAGTTAGCTGCTGAGTATCATAGGGATCATCAAATACTAGAATATCATAAATGTTATAGTATATAATAATATAGTTACACATAGTGATCATAGTTTTTAGATGTTTCTAATATTTTTTTTATGCAACTAATTACAATTATAAGGAGTTTTTCAGTCGAATCTCATCGAATATTCTAGTAATACTATACTTAGCATGGTCTATTTCACTAGAAAAAACATGTTATGCTTTATGCCTATTGTAAGGAAAGTTGGGTAACAAACCAACTTGGAACCATGGAACCACCTTGTAGTTTTGTTTTGGACTTGCAATAGTTTATAGTTTGCCGGATAGGGTTATGGTGGACATAGAGTAAAAAAGATAACTATTCTCTTCTTTATTGGTTGACACCTCACTGCAGGTAAAGAACATGGTAAACACTCACCAAAGATGGCATCAATTTTTGTAGAGCTCACTAACCAAAGATGGGGATAAAACTGAGAATCATGTTTACATGAGATGATTTGCCATGGATGGATTGGGGGCTTCTCTGCAAAACACTATTTAAATGGAGATATGATATATGGCTGCGAATCTGAATCTAGCCCCAAGGTAAACCAGCCACATTTTCGGTTTAAGACGAACACCTCTACTTACAGGATCCGTTTAATTTTTTGGGCTTACCAGTATCACATGTGTCCAAACTTCTGCTGGAACCATCCCTTACTGCCCAGTCTTTGAACTACTGAGGATAGGATAACCTCCGACTCAGAGGATTTCTGTGTGCCGGGTTTGCTTTCCGATGGCTCGGAGTCGGGTACTTCTATAGAAGGCCCTCAGACGGATGCACGCATCGCAACTCAGCACAACAGTCCCTTGGAGCGATGTCTACATCTTTTTCCCACTTTTTTTTGCTTCATTTAATATCATTTCCCCCATTAAACCAATAAGATCCAATAGGTAGATTCTAATGATATCCCGATGCCAAGTGCCCCGATATCCCCGATGGATTCCGAGAAATAAAGTTGGGCGGTTTTGCCGTTGAATCGCTGCGATTGACTTTCGAAACACAACTTTCTCTTATGGACAAAAACCTTGGGTTGCGATGGATTCCCTAAAAAACCAAGGGTCAAGTGATGCAGGTCTCCCATTTTCTACCAGGGAAATCCAGCTTTCTGGCTGACAATATGTAAGTTCTAGATCCCCAGGGCTATATATGTGGTACATTATATTAAAAAAGTACATATTACATATGCTATACATATACGATATATGTACACGATATACATAGATAGATATACATAGATATAGATAGATATACTGTAGATAGATAGAAATAGATAGAGATAGATAAAGATAGAGATAGATAGAGATAGATAGAGATAGATAGAGATAGATAGAGATAGATAGAGATGATAGAGATAGATAGAGATAGATAGAGATAGAAAGAGATAGATAGAGATAGATAGAGATAGATTGATAGATAGATAGATAGATCGATAGATAGATAGATAGATAGATAGATAGAGGGATAGATAAATAGATAGATAGATAGATCGATCGATAGATAGATAGATAGATAGATAGATAACTTAGATAGATAGATTAGATAGATAGATTAGATAGATAGATTGGATGGATGATTAGATCATATAGATTAGAATATATTATATTAGATTAGATAGATAGGATAGATAGATGGATGGATGGATGGATGGATGGGTGGGTGGGTGGATGGATGGATGGATGGATGGATGGATGAATAGTTAGTTGGACCACGGCCTTTAGAAGGCCGTGGTGTTTTGTACACATCGGGGGGGTCGGGTGGGGTGGGGTGGGGCATGTAATAACTTTCATGGGCACTTGCGGAGGAAGGACATGCTTGTCTGTGGCTGCCGGTAGGTGCATGTATGCACGGGTGGGGTTGGGTGGGGTGGGGCATGTAATAACGTTCATGTGAACTTGCGGAGGAAGGACATGCTTCTCTGTACGTTCTCTGGAACTTTCCACTCATGCGTCATGCCACGCTATGTAAGTTCTCTGGAACTTTCCACTCATACATCATGCTACGTTACTGTAAGTTCTCTGGAACTTTCCACTCATGCGTCATGCCACGCTATTGTAAGTTCTCTGGAACTGTCCACTCATACGTCATGCTACGTGACTGTAAGTTCTCTCGAACTTTCCACTCATGCGTCATGCCACGCTATTAAAAGTTCTCTGGAACTTTCCATGTGTTCATGTGGTGCTGGCGTTGTACCTTAAACAATCCAGATCCGCAAAGGTTCTTGGAAGAACTCGAAGCGTTGCTGTGACCAACACAGGAATCAAAACATGTCAGGTTGAATATTTTGAGAATTCTCACAAACCCCAAAAATGGTAGTTTCGTCTAGGCGAAATGCTTGTTTTTGAAAATATGCACCAGAATAAGGGGTTAACGGCCTTCAAAAACAACATCAAAACATGTCAGGTCGAATTAGTTTGGGAATTCTCAAAAACCTCAAAAATGGTAGTTTCGTCTTGGCGAAATGCATGTTTTTGAAAATATGCACCAGAATTCGGGGTTAACGGCCTTAAAAATCCCATCAAACAAAATTCTATTGGCACGAGCACATCAAGAATCATCCATGATACACCGTTGATCACAAAAAACCCACGGCCTTCTAAAGGCCGTGCTCCTAGTTAGTTAGTTTGTTAGTTAGTTAGTTAGTTAGTTCGTTTGTTAGTTTGTTTGTTTGTATATATATATATATAATATGTAGATAGTATGTGTATATACAATATGTATGATATTGCTGGTAAAAGTCCTCGGTTGTCCTCGGCAGTCCCCCAGACATAACTTAGGTTTGGAAGCTCATGAGAACGGGACCTGTAAGCCCTGCCGCTTTTTCCACATGAAAGAGGAAGGATGCAGAATTGGTGCTGCTTGCCACTTGCCGCAAGCGTCGCCATAAGCGTCAACTAACTAACGTGCTGACCCTTCCATTTGAGTTGTGGGTTGGAAGACCCAAACTCTAAGAATGGGTGATTCTAAGGGCCTATGTTTGTTGCGAGAACGCTATGTGTTTGGGTTGCGTCACCCCAGTGTTACCCCCAGTAACTAGAACTATAGCTATATACCAACACACATCCAACAGTTACTATCGTTATAAGACCAAATGCCTATCTGGTTGGTGGTTTGGAACATTTTTTATTTTTCCATATATTGGGAATAATCATCCTAACTGACTAACTCATATTTTTTTCAGAGGGGTAGGTCAACCACCAACCAGCTATCATGTAGGCCCCCTGTAAGGATCTGGAGTGGACACCAAGCAGGCGAGAAGCATTTGAAAGCTCCTGAATCCTGATACTGTAATTTGTTTAAAAATTGTTACCACCGAAAAGACAACGATATCATGATTACACCTGTGAGCGTTATGATCATTGTCATTATAGTTATGATCATGGCCATGATCACATGTTTAAACATCATATTGTTTGTTAGTCATATCCTGTCAAGGCCCCATTCCATCCCCGTTTACAGATGATTTTCCTAGTATATAGTATTTTGAACAAATGGCACATCATTCCATTTTGTTGGGGATGTCACAATACCCCCTCTATGTGTGGATTTACATTGCACGGGATGGATGACGAAGAAAAACCATGAATCTCATCGAACTTGACGATGGCACAGGATTATTTTTTTGAGAATAATTCACTGGTAATTTATGGTAATTTCACAGTTTGCTGTTGAAAATGGTCATTTATAGTTGATTTACCTATTAAAATGCTGATTTTCCGTAGCTATGTTAGTTTACCAGAGGCTAATTCACTAACCTGAAACTAGCTGTTATCATCTAGCCATTAAGGAATGATTCCCCTGTTTCGCATCGATGAGGTCACGATGTGTCAGTATACAGCCAGATATATACTACCCATAAACCACATACCCACTATATATCCCAGTATATATATATATAATATACATATATATCCCTTTATATTCCCATCATATTTCCATCAAATGGCCAAATGGCACAACTTTGTTGCATAACTTTGTTGGATAAATAACCATGTTGGATGTTTAATTGCCATTTAATTGACCATGGCCCGTATGGGTTTCCATCAAATGGCATAACTTTGTTGGATAGATAACCATGTTTGTTGTTTAATTGCCATTTAACTTGACCATGGCCCATATGGGATATAAGGGAATATAACAATTAACAAATCAAAAATACGGATCTTCATTAACCCAGCACGACATTGAATCCAGACAAACAACCTGGTTTTATTCCCCCCGAAAACAAGGATATGTCCATTTGGATTTGTTTGAAAAAAGGAATCAATTCCACTAGATCATCATTATTTTCCCTATGAACATTGCCATTTGTGGGCATTGCCATTTTCAGACACACCCAATCATCATACTGCTAGTTATATATATATGTACATAAACCTGGTTTTATTCGCTCCCAACAAAAAAAACATGATATTTCCATTCAATTTGTAATGGTTAAATCATTATAATGAGAGAGGGCATCAGGAGAATTTGCTATTTTTCCCCAACAGCGTAAGCTAATGGGGTCTTCAGCCCAGAATAGCTCCGGTGTGCACTGGTGCAGGCGCCGGGTCAGGTTCAACGAGGTTCCGGAGAAGGTTCCGCCGGAGAAGGTTCCGGAGAAGGTTCCGGTGAAGGTCTGGGAGGCTTTGGTGCAGAGCCAAGTCATGTTCAACAGGGTTCCGGAGAAGGTTCCGGAGAAGGTTCCAGGAAGCCTTGGCGCAAAGCCAAGTCAGGTTCAACAGGGTTCCGGAGAAGGTTCCGGAGAAGGTTCCGGAGAAGGTTCCGGAGAAGGTTCCGGAGAAGGTTCCGGAGAAGGCCTTGGCGCAGAGCCAGGTAAGGTTCAACAGAGGTTCCGGAGAAGGTTCCGGGAGGCTTTGGTGCAGAGCCAGGTCAGGTTCCAGACAAGGTTCCGGTGAAGGTCTGGGAGGCTTTGGTGCAGAGCCAAGTCAGGTTTAACAGGGTTCCGGAGAAGGTTGTTCAGATCGAGTGCCGTTGCAGGTTCTGCGTGGGGAAGCTTGCCATTCGGACTATGTAGGCCCGGTTGCGCTTCCATTACTGTGCAAGACTGGGTGTAGCCTCGCAGAGCTTCACAGTCACACAGTTGCAAGGGCATTCCAATGCTGTATATTACTGTGCGTTTGCCTGTTTCTTTTTCTCTGTGTGGTTGTAGTTGCTATTGTCCTTTCTGTCACAGTTTTCCTCTGTGTGGTTGTAGTTACGTTGCTAGCCTTTCTGGAGCCGGAGAAGGTCTGGAAGGCTTTCGTGCAAAGCCAGGTCAAGTTCAACAGGATTCTGAAGAAGGTTCCGGAGAAGGTTCCGGGAGGCTTTGGTGGAGAGCCAGGTCAAGTTCAACAGGGTTCCGAAGAAGATTCCGGAGAAGGTCTGGGGTGCAGAGCCAGGTCAGGTTCAACAGGGTTCCGGAAAAGTCTCCGGAGAAGGTCTGGTCAGGTTCAACAGGGTTCCGGAGAAGGTTCCAGCGCTTGGCTTGGCAGCACGCTTCAGAAAGTAAGTAAAACGTTGCGGCTGTTGGGGATACCACCGAAGCTAATTTTTCCAATTTGTACTGGTTAAATCGTGTTATCCAGTATTTTCTCTACCATTGAACCCACCACTCTACCTTGTTGTAAATCCGATTCCATCCCCGTGATATCCCATTCTTACTAGTTAAATCCCATTAAATCAACATGCCCATTTTCGAGCCCGCTGATCCTATGTCCATTTCAAATGGTGAACTCCAGCATTTGCTGAAATCCCTGAAATCACAACAAACAGTTGATCTTATAGCTCTCTATCCTATCTAGAATCTAGAGTTTTGAATGGTTGCCCTCCAGTAAATTAACCGTTCGACCCTGGCACTCATCAGGCTTGGAAGATTAGTTAGTTTCCACTAAAAATTGGGTGTGATTTTCAGGCTCCAGCTGTTAATTTACCAGAGTGTTTCCATTGGTTTCATCCACCATGGGTTGTCCATTGGTTTCCACCATGAAATGCCATGGCATGGGTTTCGCCATGAAATGCATCCACCATGAGGGTTTCCATTGGTTTCACCATGGGTTTTCCATTGGTTTCCACCATGAAATGCCATGGCATGGGTTTCGCCATGAAATGCATCCACCATGAGGGTTTCCATTGGTTTCACCATGGGTTTTCCATTGGTTTCCACCATGAAATGCCATGGCATGGGTTTCGCCATGAAATGCATCCACCATGAGGGTTTCCATTGGTTTCACCATGGGTTTTCCATTGGTTTCCACCATGAAATGCCATGGCATGGGTTTCGCCATGAAATGCATCCACCATGAGGGTTTCCATTGGTTTCACCATGGGTTTTCCATTGGTTTCCACCATGAAATGCTGAGGCAAGTTCTGTCACTATTGTACCCGAGAGGAGGCGCGTCGCGAGCGTCTCACCCGAAAGTATGACGACCGTCGCGTGAAGCGTCGCCTCGGCCGCCGTGCCCTGGATCCAGAAGTTCCAAAGGGGGAGGAACTGGGTGATAAACCACCCAAAATTTGTGATTTAGGGAACATTTACATGGAAATTCATGGTGATTTCATGGAAGATAATCCATTAATTATGATTAAATCACCATGGATTTCCATGACAATCCACCATGATGATTTCCCAATGATAATCCGTTTATTGTCTAGTGAACACTAGCGAACCATGGCCCAGGACTTAGGACATGATTTGAACGGAAATGGAGGATTTCACGGGGGAAATTGAGGATGGAGGATTGAATGAACTATGGAACTTGGAGAGGGGTGATAACGGTAAGGGATGGGGTTCTTCTCTCACTTCTCACCACTTACACCGCTCCTTTTGTCGCTACACCTTCCTCCACCTCCGCTACGCTAAGGATTTAACTATGGAAATTGAGGATTTGACTATGGACAGTGAGGATTTGACTTTGGAAATGAGATTTATAGCCTCTGGGAATCAAACATGGCAATGGAACATCTGTACAAATGGAACTTTTAATAGGAACATCATCGCATTAAAACGTGGATTTCCCAACTGCAACGTTTGATTGCTGGAGGATACATGGGTTTATAATGGGGACATAGTGGTAATATCATGGGGATTTGTAATGGTTGATGGGTAACTTATAATGGTAATAGGAATACAATTGTTGATTCATATTTTATAATGTGTAATATATATGTATATATAGGATATAATCCTACTATATATATATATGATTATATATAATTATATATATATCTATATATATATATATTCAGAAATGGGATCCAATGGGGATTTAACAACAATTTGTGGTTGATAATGGGGATATCATGGGGATACACTAGGATAAGAATGGGCCAAATATGTTTTTTGCAACACACATGATGATTGAAACAATAAGCATAGAGACATATGCGGGGTATTAGGCCAACCCTTTCATGGGGGTGTAACTGGCTAACGAACATGTGTGATATGGGTTTGTCTGAAAACGAGGGTATACCGGTGTTATTTAACATAGCCATGGAAAATGGCCCATTTATAGATGGTTTACCTATTGAAAATGGTGATTTTCCATAGTTATGTTAGTTTACCGGAGGGTAATTCAATGGTATGATTTTCTGAATAATGGGAGGTTGGGGTCCTGTATGAACAATGGTACGACGCACGAATAAGACGATTCCATCAAGAAACATCATGAACAAATCATGCACACGTTCAGTATATTCAAGAAAATGCATCTCTTGGATCAGGCCACTGAAGATAAGGCAAACCACTCGCAACAATGGGTCACAAGACGGTCCACGGGGCTGGTGGACACAATTCACTCCGGCCTGCAGTGAAATGGCAATCACCATCCTGGCCAGCCAGTTGACTTAGGTAAGCTCCTAGCATTGCCACTTGCAGCAGTAATGATATCGGGATTTCGCGGGCAGAGATAATTCCTGGTACCCATCCTGGAGGGACCCTCCCATTTGCAAAACATGTCAAGGGCAATCTCTCTATTTCTTTAGTGCTTCAATTCCCTTCATATTTCTTCCTCCAAAAATCTAATTTCATGATCAACCATAGGATTTTGAGTGCCGCATTTTCAGTGGCCAAAACCTCAAGAATCTGGTGAAGAGACAAACAGTCGACAAAAAGTCGCCATGAAAAAAGCGGGGCTTAAGGAACAAACTGAAGGAACCCGCCTTTTTGGCGGGGAAACCCAGCAGATTGCCGAGGTTTGACAGTAGTTAGCGGCCAAGCACATCGTCCCTAGATGAGGTGGGGGATGAAGGATCAGTCCAGAAAAGTTACAGGTCTCGATAGGATTTAGCATGATATTTAGCTATACGTAGTTGAGCGTGATTGTTACGTGTTTTTTTTCCCACGATTGGATGGACAGAATTGATTATCCAAAGAACAACATGTCTGGGAAAAAAAAGATCCACTGACATCCAAGTTGCGCCAGCGCTGGATCGATTTTCGGATTTATGGTACTCGGGGTAACTATCTCCACATGACTGAGAAAAATCAAACATAGCTTGCTGGAAAATCCACCAATTGATGGATGTTTTTTCCATTCATTTTTCCATGTTGGCCATTGAAAAAGGGGATGGACAGCAGGGGATTTCTTTCATGGATTTCCCATTGCATATCTCCATGGATTGAAGGCCGGGTCTTTTCCACAGCTCGGCTCCCCAAGTTTCAACGTTGTTTTCTTTGTGTAAACAACTACCATCTCATGTTCCGTTGATCAATGTTAATCATATCTTTAAGAGCATTGTTCAAAAATCCTGTTGGTAGATGATGGTAGATGATGACAGGGGTACTATCCAACATATCAGGGATTTTGCTGGGAATCCCTATGACATTGCGAATATCTTTTGAACATGTAACATGTCCCCAAGAACCGCGAAGAACCGAAGCTTTTGGAGGCTGATGACGGCCAATCGGACGCATCAAAGTGTTTGAAGGCACGAGTCTCCGGCAAATCCTCGAAGTTCGGATGACCTGCACTTGGCACCTGGAGGTTTCAGCCGTTTCGGGCCCTGACCCGATCTTTCTTCCCCATGCGTGCAGACCTGACCTGCATGCGAAAATGTTCCGGGAAAGCCCCTTTGGTTTGGATACCATGGGGTGTGTTATGAACAGTGGCCCAATTTCTCCATTTCTGAACGGTGATGAACCGAGCTGTGGGGGACCTGTCCTCCCGTTTCAATTTCACCATTGCAAATCTCAGTTCGCCCCTTGGATCCTACTTGGTCGCTTATACTACGGCATTTAGTTCACCCCAGTTTTTTGAGTGGACCAACAATAGTTATCCCGGATCCCATTTGCTGGAGTTATAGCTGGCGATAATATATAATTATTGTTATAGTTATTAAATAGTCCACTTGCCCCATTGGAAACTTATCCCATTATTAAATAATCCACTTATCCCATATAATATGGTAATAACTATATTTCTGATTATGTAATTCAATGATCCTACTGATCCCATTGAAGGCTGGGGTTATGAGCCAAGTATGATCCAAATTTCCGGCTGGAAGAGCGGCCGACATGGTGACACGGTGACTGCGAACTGGAAGTTCCAGGAAGACGTGGCCAATAGAAATAGATGATTCAATATATATATATAATATAGAATATATATATAATAGAATATATATAATATAGAATATATATAATATAGATTATATATATAATATAGAATATATATATAATATAGAATATATATAATATAGAATATATATAATATAGAATATATATAATATAGAATATATACAATATAGAATATATATAATATAGAATATATATAATATAGAGTATATACAATATAGAATATATATAATATAGAATATATATAATATTATATGTCATATTATCTATATAATATATAATTTAATTTTCTATATAGTATATAATATTTGATGTATAATATATATATAATATATAATATATAATATATAATATATAATGTATAATATATAATATATAATATATAATATTTGATATATAAAATATAATATAATACATATAATATCATATATAATATACCTATATCTATATATATTATATTATCTATATAATATAATATTTAATATGTAATATATAATATATATTTTAATATATAAAATATATAATTTAATTATCTATATAATATATCATATAATTATCTATATAATATTTCATATAATTATCTATAAAACATTTAATATATATAATATAATACATAATATATAATATTTAATATATAGTAAAGAGTTTATCGTATATAATAGATAACAATATATATATAACATATATATATATAAATAAATAAATAAATATATATATATATAAACAATATGATTTACCATGATTTACCTATTAATTATGAAATCCTCTGAATCATGGTGATTTTCCAGTTCGCTAACCGTCAAACTACCAGAGGCGAGCCAATTTTGTCTGATCTGCCGAACTTTATGAGCGGTTGGAGAGCCAGCGGCGCGTCTCCATGATAATCCGTCAAGTTGATCTGTGGATGGTTTCGGAATCGTGTGTGAGTTGGTAGATGGTCTATGCATGTCTATACCATGATAATCCCATTATTTATAGTTATCAATAGTTACCAACTATAGTTACCAACTATAGTTATCTTACAATTTTTCATATAGTTACCAACTGGTGCAGGATTTCGCAACGAAAAAAGTACAGAAAGGCGTAGGTGAAGCTCAGTGGGTCAAGGCACCCTAAGCATTTCCAATGCCAGAAGGGACTCTGAGGAAATGTTCTGCGATCAAGCCTTCGTGGTTTCAAGATCATTGGCCCACCCTTGATTGGGATGATTTCACATCACTTTGCCATGTACATGCGTATATATATATATTTAAACACAATTATATATATATATACACTTATATATATATATATGATCAATATATAAGTATATATGTATGATATACATATTGTAGCGTCTATTTTGAAATTGCTTTCAGATTGATTGAATCAATGCTTTTTGGGTAATGATCGAAATGCTCAAAAGTGGCACCTGCAGCGGGCCTTTTTTTAAAGATTCATAGAAAGACGATTTTTTTGAGCAGCCAGCCAGGCTTCTGTCTGCAAAAAAAATAAAGTAAAAGTACATCGAACAGATAAGCGTAAAAAAACGGAAAAAATAAGAGGAAGTCTAAGCCGCGTATCGAAATTAGTTGAGCAATCCTTTTTTCAGCCAAGGATCCCCCCACATTTGAATTGATGCATTTTGCAGACTGCATGCACCTTATTTACGAAAGTTATATGACAATATATATGTGTGTATATTTATATATATATGTACATACTACGTGTATATATATATATATATTATAAGATTATATATATATATATGTATGTATATATATATATAGATGTATTTATATAAAATTATACATATAATATGTATATATATATACACATACATATATATATACACATATACATGTCTATTTATGTGAATGTATGTATGTATATATACATATAAATATATGTAATGTAATGTAATGTAATGCCATGTAATGTAATGTACAGTAATTTAATGTACAGTAAAGTAAAGTAACGTAAAGTAAAGTAAAGTAATGTAATGTAATGTATGCATGCATGCATGCATGTATGTGTGCATGTATGTATGTATGTATGTAATGTATGTAATGTATGTAATGTATGTAATGTAGGTAATGTAGGTAATGTAGGTAATGTAGGTAATGTAGGTAATGTAGGTAATGTATGTAATGTATGTAATGTATGTAATGTATGTAATGTATGTAATGTATGTAATGTATGTATTATGTGATGTATGTGATGTATGTAATGTATGTAATGTATGTAATGTATGTAATGTATGTAATGTATGTAATGTATGTAATGTATGTAATGTATGTAATGTATGTAATGTATGTAATGTATGTAATGTATGTAATGTATGTAATGTATGTAATGTATGTAATGTATGTAATGTATGTAATGTATGTAATGTAATGTAATGTAATGTAATGTAATGTATGTAGTATGTAATGTATGTAATGTATGTAATGTAATGTAATGTATGTAATGTATGTAATGTATGTAATGTATGTAATGTATGTAATGTATGTAATGTATGTAATGTATGTAATGTATGTAATGTATGTAATGTATGTAATGTATGTAATGTATGTAATGTATGTAATGTATGTAATGTATGTAATGTATGTAATGTATGTAATGTATGTAATGTATGTAATGTATGTAATGTATGTAATGTATGTAATGTATGTAATGTAATGTATGTAATGTATGTAATGTATGTAATGTATGTAATGTATGTAATGTATGTAATGTATGTAATGTATAATGTAAATGTATGTAATGTATGTAATGTATGTAATGTATGTAATGTATGTAATGTATGTAATGTATGTAATGTATGTAATGTATGTAATGTATGTAATGTATGTAATGTATGTAATGTATGTAATGTATGTAATGTATGTAATGTATGTAATGTGTATGTAATGTATGTAATGTATGTAATGTATGTAATGTAATGTAATGTATGTAATGTATGTAATGTATGTACAATGTATGTAATGTATGTAATGTATGTAATGTATGTAATGTATGTAATGTATGTAATGTATGTAATGTATGTAATGTATGTAATGTATGTAATGTAATGTATGTAATGTATGTAATGTATGTAATGTATGTAATGTATGTAATGTATGTAATGTATGTAATGTATGTAATGTATGTAATGTATGTAATGTATGTATGTATGTAATGTAATATGTAGTGTATGTAATGTATGTAATGTATGTATGTATGTATGTATGTATGTATGTATGTATGTAATGTATGTATGTATGTAATGTATGTAATGTATGTAATGTATGTAATGTATGTAATGTATGTAATGTATGTATGTATGTATGTAATGTAAGTAATGTAATGTATGTAATGTATGTAATGTATGTAATGTATGTAATGTATGTAATGTATGTAATGTATGTATGTATGTATGTAATGTATGTAATGTATGTAATGTATGTAATGTATGTAATGTAATGTAATGTAGTGTAATTTAATGTAATGTAATGTAATGTAAGTATGTATGTATGTATGTATGTATGTATGTATGTATGTAATGCATGTATGTAATGTAATGTAATGTAATGTAATGTAATGTTATGTTATGTATGTATTGTATGTATTGTATGTAATGTATGTAATGTATGTAATGTATGTAATGTATGTATGTATGTAATGTAATGTGATGTGATGTGATGCGATGTAATGTAATGTAATGTAATGTAATGTATGTATGTATGTATTACTGTATTACTGTATGTATGTATGTAATGTACTGTAATGTAATATATTGTAATATAATGTAATGTAATGTAATGAAAATGTAATGTAATGAAAATGTCATGTAATGTATGTAATGTAATGTAATGTAAGGTAATTTAATGTAATGTAATGTAATGTAATGTATGTTTGTTTGTATGTATGTATGTATGTAATGTATGTATGTATGTATTTATGTATGTATGTATGGATGGATGGATGGATGCATGCATGCATGCATGTATGTATGTATGTATGTATGTATGTATGTATGTATGTATGTATGTATGTGTATATATATATATGTATGTATGTATATATGCAGACATATGTATAAATGAAATATGTATAACTATATATGTAAAAATGTATAAATATGTTTAGATATGTATATTATATATATGTGTTTTTACTTACCCACCTATACCCATGTATACAAAATGTTTGATATTTTATATCTGGTTGAAACCACCAAATCGGCTTGAATAAGGCACATTCTACATGATCCAGCACGGGCAGATGATCAGCACAGAAAAGTCAGCTGCTGTCCTCCCAACACTGGAAATCTCCTGTCAATGGGTGGTTTTGATGGGAAAATCATAGAAAAATCAGGGAAAAAACAGGGAAACGCATGAAATAAACGGAGGTAAAAAAACTGGGAACATGTTCTATAGATGGTTAAATTTGCCCATGTTGGAGTACTGGAGTTTTTTTTTCTGTTAGCTGGGGATACATTGGCCTAACCAGCTCAAGCTTATGTTTTTTGGGTACCTTTCAGCCAGGCCATGATAGTCATGTCGATTCAGCCATGAGGGGAATCCCGAGTTGAAGCTGCAGTTGGGGAATCCGCTACTTATGGGGTACCATGGTTGTAAAGCCCCAAAAGGATGGGATGTAACCCCTAAAAAAACAGGGTTCTATATCTACTCACAACTGAAACTGCATTTCCAAGTAGCAACTAGCAACCAACGTTTATGATGCCTACCAACACGAGCAGTAGATATGTCGAGTATGGCACCTCAAATGACGAGGAAACTCGCCATGTTTACACGAGCCCAACCCAAAATTTGGCAACATTGACGATTGTGGGGAGTGGGGCCGCGCAAGCGCGTGCATGTACCCTCTGGTAAACTTATGTATATAACTATGGAAAATCACCATTTTTAATGGGAAAATCAACAATTTCTATGGCCATTTTCAATAGCTATGTTAGTTTACCAGAGGGGTACCTATCATATTTCAAGGTGGTGACAAAGTATAGTCAGAATGGTTTCGCACATCCTCAATTCTGTAGGGACAAACTTCTGGGATCGGGGTCCAGCATGGCTGTGACACGAAAAAATGATGCGACGTTGCCGGCTGACTACATAGTGGCCACCAGTTAGAAGTTTGTTGCTTTGTAAAGCCCATGAATACTATAGTTATTTGATGTATTGATGTTATTTGCGTATCATAAACCATATAGTTACTGTTGTGAAGTAAGCCAACTTAGATGTCGTTTGGGGCCACATTGGGAAACAGCATCCGACCTGAACTCCGAAGGCATGCTCCGACAGTTGTGTACCAGAGCGGGTGTATCATTTGAATCGAGTTCATGGTTCTATCCCCATACCCTCTGGTAATTTGTTACATAGCTATTGAAAATCACCATAGAAATAGTGAATTTTCCCATGAAAAATGGTGATTGTCCATAGTTATGTAACAAATTACCAGAGGGTATCATTATGTATCATTATATATCATGATCTAATATTATCACTATAAGCTCAAATATTTAATATATATATATATAGATCATTGGCGGTGATATAAGTTGATCACAGCCAATGATGCTATCCGGGAAAATCATGACCGTGGCGTGCTGGTCATTTTCCTGTTGTGATCGGGCACCATCACAATCGGCCACGGATGATCTTACCCTGCAATAAACTAACATAGCTATAGAAAAGGAACCATTTCTAGATGATTTTCCTACTAAGATGGTGATTTTCCATAGGAAACTCTTAGTTTACCCTCAGCATTTGATCTTCGACAAACCCATGTCCAGCCAGGTCTATGTGAGCCCTGCTCTGGAATTAAGCGACTTCTCACAGGAGCCTTTGCGGCCGCAGTGGAGGAAGTGGCAATTTCCATAATTTTCCCAATTTTCGTCAGATGTTGGGCAAATGTGGCAATGGCGCCACTTTCCCACCAGAACCTATGGGATCTTGCCCTGCATGGAAAATTTCACCAAAATCATTAGCTACGAAACCGAAACCACAACCGAAAACTTCCTGGTGACTTTACAGTTTTTCGGCTCCTAGGGCTGCTCGCTGCTAGGAGCAGTTGCGCTTCAATCCGGAGTTGCCGAGGTGCCGGATAGAAATGGCTGATTTTCCAGCCGTGAGACTGGAGGCTTCTTGGAGAATTATCCCACTTACCCATAGGATCCATGTATGCTATATATATATGGTAACATTTACCATCAATATACCATACATGGATCCTATGGGTTAGTGGTTAGTGACCCTGGTTAGAAAGTCACCGATTCGTGGCCATGGATGCCATGGTTTGGGCAAAATCTGTGGTCACTGTGGTCCTAAACGGGGCCTAAACGTGGTGCACAAGATCCGAATGCCTGCGCCAGGGAGATTCCTTTGGCTGTTCGCTTGGTCTTGGACTGTGAGGTGCCACCCACCAAAGGTGGATCCGCCAGCAAACTTGTGGGGATTTGGGGCTAGCAAAGGGAACAGCTCTCCAAACATGATGATCATGATGGATGTGTGCATTCAGAATCTATGGCTTTCAGTGGGAAAAACCTGGAGGCGACTGCTGCTGAGGGGGAGAATGATGAGGCGCTGGAGGAACGAAGTGTGCATTACACTTACATCTCCCTGCAGAAGGCCGATGGGTGATGATAGAATGGTACACCTGGGAGCTGATGATGGCTTGAAACCACTACTTGTTTTCTTTTTGAATGCTTCCCCCTTTTTTTGAGTTCCTAGGAAACCTTACTTAATACTATACACACATATTACGCGAAAATACACACTCACTGAGTCACTGAAGTGTATAACACATTTTCAGCGCGTTACGAAAAAACCCACTGACCAACTTCCCCATTTTTCGGACGCTCTGAGCCAAGACAGTCTTGGAATGATGATCCCCAAAAAAACGGGTGAGTTACTCAGTTCTTGTTGGTTTCTATTCTTATTTTTGAGAAGTTGTGTTCGTTCATTGTCAAAAAAACCAGAAGAATGAAAGTGGTTTTTGCGTGTTCTAATTCAAAACACGTGCCATGGGTTTTGTTTGAAATTATGACATCAGCGATGTTCTCCATATGTTTTTCTCCGTTCCACCCCCTTTGTTTTTTTTTTTCGCGGAAAAACAGAGCACCAGAACTCCAGGCCAACGCCCTAGACTCGACGCTCGGTTGGGATGCTTCAAAAACCATGGTGTTTTTGAAGATCGCCATGGTTGTTTCAAACATGTTTTTTGAAGAACATAAAAGAAAAACAATGGCTGGATGTTGATGGATTGATGTTTTTTTGTTTTTGATTTTGAAGAACACATTTAATTAGTCTATATTTAAGTTGGAGATGACTTTTCTTTGGAGGTTTTGAAGATCACATTTGAGTAGTATTTGTTGGAGATGAAATTGATGAAATATCCCTAATGCCAAAGTGATGTGAACAAATAGGACATTTCTCAAGCCCTGTTTAAGAAATGGTTAATTTTTATGGGTTTATGCTGGATACAGAAGTCAACTTCATAGTTTTTGTGGTCAGTTGATTTAGATGTTTGTAAAGCAACAAAAATAGCTGGGCACCACATGATGGCTGACGTCACTGGCAGCAAGAGACGGGGACTTAATCCCGCAAGGGCTAGCAAGAATGGGAGATGAACCACTAGAAATGGGGGCTTGCGAGGATTACCTTCTGGTCATCAAACATGGCAATGGAAAATGGCCTATTCAAAAGATGAGTTTCCCAGGTCCTAGATTCGAGGACAGTTGATCCTTGTTTCAACTGGGTCAAAACCTATTACTAGATTGGGGGGAATATCCATGAGTTCTAGCTATGACTTAGGGTAGGCTGCTGGAGAAAGCCTCGTTGGCCTCTGTGAATTTTACCTGACAGAAATCCCAATTTTTGGGGAGACCATGACCTGGAACCATGACCTGGAAAAGCCATGATTTATAGATTTAACTTCATTGAACCATGATTTTCCCTGCTAGTTTGGGGAGCCACGGAGCTGATGACACCGCAACGCCGGTCGATTCGCCATGTTTGATTGCCAGGTTTTGAATGATCTATCAGAAAAAACTAGGGGCAAGAAACTTGCACCAAGAACTGAACCAAAACTTTGGAATGGAATAAACAGCAGCCAGATATTCTTGTGATTCAGTGGGACTTGAACAACATCAATGCGAAGTTTATGTTCGAACAGTATGGAGGTTTCCGTTTCGTCATGGGGGTACCCCCAGTTCTCATCTTTTTTTTTTTGATTCTCATGGATTTTCCATATGAAAACCATTCAGCTAGGGTAGCTGCTAGGAACCCGTCTGGATTGCTGTGCCGTACCGAGGCCAAAAGCGGAAGAGGCTGGGCCGGAGCTTCAAGAATCCCGCTGAGATCGGAAGTGGTTTGGCTAAGCCTGGTTTTTGCTCAGTCCCCGATTCGTGGGGTTCTCCCATTTTTTTAAAAAATGGGTTACAACATGTTATAACTTATACTGGTTGGTGGTTTGGAACCATGGAATTTTATGGCTTTCCATATATTGGGAAGAATCATCCCAACTGACGAACTCATATTTTTCAGAGGGGTTGAAACCACCAAGCACTTATAACTGTGGTTACTAACCAGTTACGATTGGTGGGATGATCCTCGGAATTATGACCAACCAGCGCAAGAACTGGCCCCATTCAACAGCCCATGAGTCGGCATCGTTGACAGCACGAAATCTGCAGATGGCAGATTTTGTGTGCCGACAAGACCCAACGATATGCAAATGTTGGTTATATTATAGTTACATTATAGTTACATTCAGCAATTTCAGCATTCCATTGTTTAAAGTATCCCCATTGAAATTCCATGCCCATTGAAACGCGCTTGGATATAACATGGATATCGGTCACCAGAGTCCAAGAAGTGCCATTTTGAGCCATGACAAACTACCCTCTGGTAAACGTTTACATAGCTATTGAAAATTGTCATTTACAGTGGATTTACCCAGCTATAAAATGGTGATTTTCCATAGTTATGTTAGTTTACCAGAGGTTATTATGGATTAAGAACTAATAGAAGAATCATAGAATATTTACTAACTAGTATTTGATGATGGGAAAACGGGGGTGCCATTTTTTGTCATGGCTTATTTGAATTTATTTGAGCCATGACAAATACTCCTTTTCCATCCCACTTGTTGTTCGCAGCTGGACCATCCAGTGTGGATTAAAGGAATGTTTGCTGACGATTCTTGGTTTATTTTGCAAGGAATGTTTGTATTCAGCTGCCATTTGTGGTTTATGAACGTTTATGAGTTGAAGATTATGGTGATATATATATATATATATTTACATAGCATGATTTCTTACCTTTACCAAGTCTATCCCCACACTTGTTGGGAGGTTTCCTATAAAAGTCATGGGGGGTACCCCTAAATCATCTAAATCATACCTTTTCACAGGATTTTCCTTGTAAACCATCCAGCTATTGGGGTACCCCATTTATGGAAACATCCATGTTGCTTATAAACCACTTAGTAGCTATTTATGGCTTATCAACCATTTATATACCACTCATAGTCCACTAATATTCCATAGATACATGATATAATATATATATATTTGATATATATATATGAATAGTATATATATATATATATGATACATATATATATATATGATGTGTGTGTATATATATATATATATATGGGGGTTTCCTAAAATGGGGGTACCCCTTTATCGCTGGATGGTTTATTTCATGGAACATCCCAAACCAAAATGGATGATAACTAGGGGTACCCCCATGACCATCGGACCATGGTGACTTAACCGCGGGAAGCCCAGCCACCATGGGCTGTCAGGTGGATGAGCGTCCACCCTGGTCAGCACACGTGATTGGCCTCTCGGTGCTTGGTGAATGGGATGATGACTGTCATTGGGTCACATATCATATATCTATGGAATATTAATGGCATACGAGTGGGGAAAATGTGTTTCATAAGCCATATATATACTTTTTGTAGTTACTAAGTGGTTTCTGTCATTGGGTGAATCCCAACATTGTTTAGTTTTATGGATGTTAATGGCTAATCCTAAGATGTCTATATTTCTAAGAAATATAGATTGAAATATGAAACTGTGTTCATCAAACTACCTCAATGTCAGCACTTTTTTTTTTCGACGAGGCCTCCAGCGATTTGTCGACCGAGGTCAGAAGTTGGAACATTCGGGACAGTAGCTCGGCAGCCATGGAACTGGGAGTGAACTGGGGCACAGGGACTTGAAATTCAGTAACTGACACAAATTGGCATGGAGTTTTGTACAAATGGGTAGTTGGGGTTATGAAATCGGCGATATACAGACGTCCTTGGGGGCTCGAACAGCTGCAGGTGCTTCATCCTTCATGAGGTCTTTGGAGCCGGTCCTACCGGTGACAGGCCCAAAAAAAGGGAACTCAGTGGCTGAGGGAAAGATGATTCAAGCACCACTTGAAGTTCCCCTGGGTTTAATATGGTTGAATTAAACCCAAAGAACTGGACTTTTTTTTGGCACGATGGGTTTCGGCATGTTTAGGTGTGGGACATAGCAGATTGGGAAAAAAAACTTATCGAAAACCATCTAAGAATCTTCACGGATCGGCAGGACATGGCATCGAGACCCAGCCGAAAAGACGGCAGAATGACGAGGGATTCGAAACATTTTCGAAGTCCCAAGCTCACGAGTCATAACTTTTGGAATTTTTGGGACTTACAACATAACTTTAAGTCCCATAGCTGCATAGCTTTTGGTATACCCCGAAATGGAGCTGTTTAAAACATAGTGTAAACATCTTCGCTGCAATCCCTATGTTTACCCATCACCAATCCCATATATCCTGTGACACGCTGAAATCCCTGGTAGGACATGCTCAAAACAAAAAACCCTAAAACCCTGAAACCCTAAGTCCTAAAACCCTAAATCCTGAAACCTAAAGTCAAAATCGCTGCGTATAGCCAGTGTTTTCGTTCATCCTCGGGTGACAAGTATATGATGGGTGTGTTATTTGGACCCTGGATGTTTCCCAAGTCATGGGGGTACCCCTAAATCATCATAAATCATCCATTTTTGTTTGGGATTTTCCATGAAATAAACATTTTCATAGGATTTTCCATTGTAAACCATCCAGCTATTGGGGTACCCCATTTATGGACACCCCCCATGTGGGCGAACGGTGGGGGTTGGCGCCACGTTTCAACCACTTTGACTTAGCCAGGTCGGAGACCAACGCGCCGCGCGGGCACACCCAAGGGGATGTCTCGCCGACTGGGGTGTTTCGGAACCATGGCTAGTCATTTCTATATGGTGTGGATAAACCAATGTCATAAACCACCCAGACTGGGAATGGTACCATACCACCTATATATTTATGGTGACTGGGGGATGGTAGTGCCATGGCATTGTTTTAACCCCATGAGCCGATGCCAATCGGATTGACGGTCAAATCCCCACGAAATCGGTGTGAAAATCACCACGTGAAAATCCTCCCAGGGTAGGGGCTGCAGTTGAGCTTGCGGGTATAACAGTTGTAACCCCCCAACAAGTTGGGAAATGGGGCCTCTACAACGGTAAAATCTATGGTGAAATCTGTCTAGAAAGAGCATGAAAGAGCTCTTTGCCAAAGGCAACGAGCCCGGTGATTCCCCTAAGGTCAGAGTTTAGCTCACGAGCTGGAGGGCAACACAGCTCGGGGTGCTCAGCTTTGCCGGTCGCCAAGGCTGGTCTTTTAATGGTAAAATAATCATCAAAAGTGCTGGTTTGACCACGAAAAATGGTGATGTTTCACTACCAAACAATGCGGTTCAATCACTTTAACCATCAAACTGGGGACCAACTGTCAACAATACTGGTGATAACAATCAAACACAGGGATTTATTTCATGAAACACCACGCAATTCAAGCATCAACAATGGAATTTGAGGAATTGCCCGAACTACCGGGAATACCCCAGTTATCAATCTTCCTCATTTCCAAAAATGGGGGTTTCCCCCATTTTCAGAGACATCCATAGACTGGACAGTTGCAGGATAAAAATGGCCCCTGGCTTCACGAATTCCCTGTGTTGGATGGTTCATTCATGTTCATAAAAGCCCATGGCCCATGCTTGTTTTAGAACCGTTTTTTTTTAAATCCCTTTTTGTTGGTTTAAAATCCGTGAGATCAATTTGGAATCCTTCCGGTGTCCTCAAAGTCAAACATAGCAATTGGAAATCCACTGTTTGTAGATGATTTTCCCATTCAAACCTCCATTGATAGCGAATTTTCCATTGCCACGTTTGGTTACCAGAGGGTAACCCACTCAAATACACCAACAAGAACAGTGTATCATCTCACAACTCGGATGATCATTACGTTGAAAACTCAAAAACATTGGGGATATCAAGCGCCAATACTGGCGTATTTGGTAGACCGACAGGTGAAATGGTCTGCTTCCATGGCTTAGTTGTTTGCAATGAATGGCGAAACATCTGACGGATGGTGAATGGTTGATCTTCTCGGTGGTCAATTGAGGTGAGTGACAACCCCCATTTGACGGCCCAATTTGTTTGGGGGCCCTGGTGACCCACCGAGGACTGCGTAATTTGCCTCAGTGAACCTCGAGACACGGCCGTCTTGCCCTGCCGACACATGTGTGCGGGAGCTCGGGATGATTCGGATGGTCAATGGCCATCCATCAGTACAGGATGATGCTTTCCCAGCTATGTTTGTTAGTTTATAAAGCCCACAAACTATGGTTATATTTACATATATCTACCATAAACCATAGTTGAGGCACTTACAAGGCAACTTAGCATCTTGGGGCCCCCATCCTGTACCCAAATTATATTTTTCGGATTGGTAGATGACCATACCACATATTCATGATATCATATACCATCTGACAAGAGCATGGCACGCAAGACATGCCAATCTAACGATTTTCCGATTTGAAACCTGCGCAGCATGGTTCATGTTGAAAGCTGTTTGAGGACGCCATAGTGGGGCCCCCAAACGTTGTGTGTGTGTGTAACATCTGGATAGATGTAAAACTCCTCTTTTTTATTTTTCTCTCCTTCTAGCAGGGGGACAGCATTTCACTGGGACTGTGTCCAACGAAGCTACCAGTGAAATGGGATATCCAGCTTGGCCAGCTGGACGGACCTGCAACGCGATCATTTCAATTTTACTGACATGGCAAGGGGCTAAGCAGAGAACCCCAACCAACACAAATTTGGTTTTACACGGTTGTCGCAATCTGAGATTTTCTTCGGCATCTTTTTCAACGTTATTTGCATGGTATTCTTACTGTCATGGCGAAGGGCTAAGCCGAGAACCCTACAGAGATTATTGTCAATGTCTACGTTTTATTTGATGGTGTTTATGATCGCGATGATCTTCTCGGAGTACCTCCCTTTGGTCGGCTAATACGTCTAGGATTATTGTTTTCCTGACTAATTTGCAGGTTTAAGGACTCAGTTCCTGATGGATCACTTAAAAGATCCAATTTTGTCTAGTGTGATTCCTATGGTGGCTCCGGCCATTTGAGGCAACCCCGTTGTGGGTGAGTGTTGACTGACCTGATCTCGGAAGTGGCACTTTTAATTTGGTAATTCATGTAAGTAAAGCGAAACAGTTGGCCTTTTGGTTCTGCACCGTTTTTTGAGATGTCCCGCTGTTCCTGTCGTCCCTTGAGAACCTTTTGATCTTACATTTCTACTCGACTGAAGCTGCACCAAAATCTCAGAAATCCTCATTTTCCTCTCTGCAGCTCGAGCTTTCACAGGGAACCATGGCATGAACCAGGCAAGGTGACAGGCATGTCCTCTTCCTGCAGGTATGGTCTTTTTGATATCTGGTGAGGTTGAGCATGTTGCGCACCTAATTGGATGGAATTTGAACAGCCGTTTATTCCCATGTGGCCGGACATGACCATGGTCCCGTTTTGGGAACAACGCACGACACTTTAGGGATGAACTGAGTCCTTTTCATTAATAAATTTTGTTGCTTCTCTTTCGTCACCAACTGATCCCCATTCGGTCCTTAATTCTTCCCCCGTGCCCCTCTGTAATGTGTTGTGGGGTTTAGGTGTGTGCCCTGTGCTGTTCAGGTCCGTTTCGCTGCGTAGGTTGGTTCTGGAGGTCCGTTTGTTCCCCGTCCCCCCCTGCGCTGTTTTGGCCTTTTGCCCGTCGTTGGTGTCCGCTTTTTTCTTCCTCTTGCCTTTCAGGGTTGACCCGGCCCTGGCCGGGTGTGTGTGTGTGTAACATCTGGATAGATGTAAAACTTCTCTTTTTTCTTTTCTCTCCTTCTAGCAGGGGGACACAGCATTTCACTGGGACTGTGTCCAACGAAGCTACCAGTGAAATGGGGTATCCAGCTTGGCCAGCTGGACGTACCTGCAACGCGATCATTTCAATTTTACTGACATGGCAAGGGGCTAAGCAGAGAACCCCAACCAACACAAATTTGGTTTTACACGGTTGTCGCAATCTGAGATTTTCTTCGGCATCTTTTTCAACGTTATTTGCATGGTATTCTTACTGTCATGGCGAAGGGCTAAGCCGAGAACCCTACAGAGATTATTGTCAATGTCTACGTTTTATTTGATGGTGTTTATGATCGCGATGATCTTCTCGGAGTACCTCCCTTTGGTCGGCTAATACGTCTAGGATTATTGTTTTCCTGACTAATTTGCAGGTTTAAGGACTCAGTTCCTGATGGATCACTTACAAGATCCAATTTTGTCTAGTGTGTGTGTGTGTGCTTTTCGAACAATAAACACAATCTGACAATCTAACCTGGTTGGTTGTTTGGAACATGACTGTTTTGACTTTCCATATCGGGAATGTCATCATCCCAACTGGCAAATGGCAAACTCATATTTTTCAGAGGGATAGGTATACCACCAGCCAGTACTCGTAACTGTTGAAATCTATTTCCCATTAACCCAACGCTTCTTGTAGTGAACTATAGGAACTTAGCTGTCAGGGGCCTGCCGCACTGCACTTGTCTCAGGTTTCTGCAGCTATTGTGCTGGCATCGTGAGGCGGAATGGGGATACCACAAACCGAACAGACAATTCATCAATGGGATTTTCAGGATCCTAAAATGGAGGTACTGTAATTACCATATAAATTCATATAAGACCATATAATGATGGTTAGTAATGATGATAGGTGGTTAATAATGGTTAATAATTCCCAGATGCTCCATGGTGCTGGAATAGTTACATTTACCCCAAGAATGGCCCAGTTTTGTAGGTAAATATTCCAGCACCATGGAGCATCTGGGATTCAAATTTTGACCCCCACTTCCGTTGTTTTCCACCTATTTCAGTGTACCGGAAAGCATGCTGACGCAAAGTCTTTGATCTTTGAAACTGCTTCAAACCGTATCCCCGGATGCTTCGCAGCAGGCTCCAGTGTGATCGCTGTCCAGTGTGTCGGCAAAAAGTACAGAGTTTGTTGCAGTTCAAACGCGAGGCGGGCTGGGGACTGGGGAAAACCCAAGCCAACTGAGCACGGGTATAAAAATGGGGAGTGAATAGTAAACACAGCGTTGTCTCCCAATAGGTTTGGGATGGATTTGACAGGTTAGATGATTACATTGATAATTGCACACGCATATATATATATGTATATATAATATATGTATATATATTATTATATATGTATATATATGTGTATATATATATATTGTACATATGTATATATTATACACATCATACAATTACTGTATATTTTATCTTACTTCCGCTAAAGCAAACTTTCTAACATTTTCCGGGGACCATCGGACCATCATGGTAATGATCAGTTCGGTTTGGGCGTTTGCCTGGCAAGGTTTTTACGCCCAGCGCATCCCATATGCGAACCATGGTGCTGGAATATAAAAACCAACATTTGCCCGAAGAAAATCACCCAGTCTTGTAGGTTTTATATGCCAGCACCATGGTGAGCTAATATGGGTATCACAGACCTTCCTTTTCATTCTTTGCTTTGGCAATATGTATTCGGCGTTGCCACTGAAACTCGCCTGCCATAGCTGATTCTCGGGACTTCGGCGTAGTTCACACATTCACAAGGCATTTGGCATTGCCCCGAACGAAAAAGACAGCACATGTTTAGTGACCACGGGTGCGATTCACAAATACTTTACTTCGAGTGATCCCCAGCGTGATGACTTATTTTGTTATAGTTTCTGACATCTCATCTGGAAGTATATATATAATTATATATATATGGCATATATTTTCTGACATTCTATTCTGGCATTCTATTTGACATTCTATTCTGACATTCTCTTGTGGCATTCTATCCGACATTCTCTTCTGACATGGGCACTGCTGGACCTCAACGGCAAGCCCACTGACATCTGGCTCTTGCCGTTGGATCCGAACCTCGCGCTGAGCTCTGGAGCTCGCGGTTGAGGTCCGGCAGTGCCCACTGAGATCTAGAGACCCTCGCCTGGCAGGTGGGGAAAAACAAATCACACCGCCATCCGTATCGAGAAATGTTCAACTGTTTTCCTCTCAGGAGTCTGGAGAAGTGAGATATACACCTCACAACATCTATATATATATATCATACATTGTAATATTATACGTATATATATATACATATATATATATATACATACATACACACATATATATATATACATATATATATATACACCATATATAGATGATATATGCATCCCCTTGCCACTTGGCAGTGAAAAATCCTTCCCTAGGAGGAGGTCAAAAAAAGGTGCGGCATACGCTTGGTAGGGCCTCCTAGTTTTGTTTGTTGGTTTATCGTATATATATATATATATGTGTGTGTATATATATATGCATAATAATAAACTCCACTACAGTTGTCATCATAGTTATAATCATCATGTAAAACCCAAGGTTAGCCAGATTGTAAACGAAGTTAGTTATCGTTTGGAGGGCCCCAGCTTGTACAGACCTCGCTCTATTGCTCAGCAGGAATTTCAGCCACCGGAAACTCCCAAGCCAGAGGTTGGGATTCTGCAATATCAGTTGGGTGATGGGTTAGCAATGGGCCATTTGCTCGTGGTGTTCGTTTTCGGCACAGATCACCATTGAAACCACGGTTTTATCACCATTGAAACCATTGCTCGTGGATGAGGAATCAAATACAGTATAAAAACCATAATATATCATTACGTATATCACCGTAATCAGATAAATATATAATATACGTATCATTCACAATCTTCATTCGTACTCCCATCCCCTGCATGTCCGCGACATGAATCCAATACATCAACCACCAGTGTTTTCCAACGGGACATTTGATACGGGGGATGGGATTACTTCCGACCATGGTCGCCCTCAAAGAGATTTCTACTCTGCCATCTTTTTCAGCGTTGCTTTATACTAATCATGAAATATTATATGAAATTGTATCCTTTTAGACCCCAAAACACCATTCTTGCTGTGTATTTCCCTCACCCAGATCTTTTCCGTGGCAATGTCGCAAGGCTCCCATCTGCGCGCACTGATGAGCCAGTGCATCCCTGAAAATATAGCGCGTTCTGCGCGCGGCCCTGGGATGTGAAGAATGGTAAACTCAATTGAGGGTTTGACGTCAACCATGAGTTTGATGCTTAAATAGTTTCGAAAACTTGGGTTGATTAGCCATTGAATGGAGATTTGATTAGTCATCCTGTAGAGGGGTTGTAGTCATGATTCTTGTTGATACGATTTAACCATCTTGTACAGGGGTTTTGATAATAAAACACATTTTGGAAAATTAGAACGGATGAATGTTATTATTCGTTGATGATTAACGGATTTATAATTCCCAGTGTATTGGGGATTCCTAAAATAGGGGTATCCCTAAATCATCCATTTTAGATTGGGATTTTCCACGAAATCAGCCATCCAGCTATGAAAATTCGTGGGAATTATCAACATCTCAGAGGAAAAAAACAGGAGTACACTTGGGGGAGCATGCCACTGCCTGGTTCCATTTCAGGGTACCCATATATACTTGAACAATACATCTCTATCCGTATTAATATAGTGACATATAGGTAAACATTATGGTCTATGTATGCATAACGATGTAACAGCGTAGCATCTTTAATATATATATATATATTTACCATCTGGTTATTTAACATAGCCATGGAAAATCACCATTTTTAAGTTCGGTAAACCATCTATTTCTATGGCCCATCTATACCATGGCGAACTGTTAGTCATAGGTATACATATAGATACGTGACGTGACGTGACGTGACGTACGGTCCGATTTGTTTAAGGTTCCCCCATCGTGGCAGGTGGTTGGAGCTTCGTACAAACGGCACTACCTTTTTCTCCTGGAGCCCCAAGAGGCGATCGATAAGTTGGTGCCAAGAAGTTAGTCCAATAACTGTTGGGTTGATGAATGGGGGTTATATCGAACTAGTTAATGGGGATTATAAACCAACTTATAACTAGGGGGCACCACCGTGTAGATTGATATGATCAAATGGGATATATATATATACTGGTTGGTGGTTTGGAACATGAATTTTATGACTTTCCTTTCAGAAAAGGGAATGTCATCATCCCAACTGACGAACTCATATTTTTCAGAGAGGTAGGTATACCACCAACCAGAATATATATATATACACATGACAACATTTTGATGAATCATATTTTACGAATACTACTGTATGATAATCAGGTGGGATTAGCCCGTTCAAAATTGGGGAGCTTGAAGATGTTAAATACGTGGGGATTTGATGTGGTATAGGAACGGGAGAATGGGTTAGTAATGGGATATATATATATGATACACACAACAAACTTGATTTATACTCACATCACTATTAGTTGGTAGTTGGTTTAGATGTTTAGGACAACTGAATTATCACTATGATAATTGGCTGTAGGTAGTGACAACCTACTCCTTTGTATGGGGATGAGGGCCAATTCATAGTCCAATTGATAGCCGGCTAAACGTGGGTTTTTCGTATTTGTGGCTGAACGTTTTTACCAACGTAGCACAAGGTGGTACCACCCCCAGCTATTTTTCTTGGGATAGAAAGACCCCCGTTAAGGAGCAACAAAAATCCCTGAATTTCTCAATATCGGGATGGGTCAATTAATTTGGCCAAGATAACCGATGAAGTGTTGTCAATGATGGGGAACATTGGGGAATACATCAAAGATGGACTTGACTAACCTTTATTTTGAAGAACTCCTCCAGATGCTGTACATCACGATCAAGACCGCAATCTTATTCGAATATATTCGAATATTATACACTTGATCATGCGAGTTACCCTTTGGTAATCAAACATGGGCTGGAAAATTCCCCCATTTAGAGATTATTTCCCCATCATAAAACCTCCATTGATAGGGAAGTTTCAGTTGCCATGATTACTGGAGGTTCCTGGATGATTCTGATTGATTCTGGGGGGAATCACCGACGAAGTGATGGATTTTTGGTGGAAACCCCACAATTTAATTTGGGGTACCCAAATTTATCGCTGGATGGTTGATTTCATGGAAAATCCTAATCTAATAAATGGATGATAACTAGGGGGTACCCCCATTTCCGGAAACATCCATTTCTGGGTTGCCAAACTTCTCGTCACCAATCCCAAGATAGGAATCCATGGAGTGACCATTTTTTTCCATCCAACAAAGATGGGATACTTGGAGGATCATCCCTGCGGGGATGGTGCCGCAGTTCGGAATCGCGTTCAGTTGGTGCCAATGTTAGTCCAATAAATATGGTTTATGGTAGATATAACGAACTAGTTTTCATGGGGTGAAACTAAACCAACTTACATAACTGAGGGGCACCACATTGTGGGGATGCAATTCTGTATGACTCTGTCAAAACAAACACGACAATATCAGGCTGCAACAGGGGACATGGCACAACCAACCACTGTCGTATTGATGTTCCGAACAACCCACGCATTTGATCAACTGCCAACGTTCTTGCTTCTCAGCTCACAATGTGGGATGGACGGCTGTTGGTTAAGAGGGATGATGCTGACCATTGCCGAGCAATTTTCAAAAGATCGAGCTGATTGCGATCACCCACTTGTGTATTTCTACGTAAAGAAAACATGTGGTCTGGTTTGTGGTTTCAAACATTTTTTATTTTCCATTTCATATATGGGATGTCATCCTTCCCATTGACGAACGCATATTTTTCAGAGGGGTAGGTATACCACCAACCAGTGGTTGACTAGTTACGTATGTATCATCCCTGTTTTTAAGTGGCAGCCAGGTGATTCGACACGAATTTTCGTGATGATATGACCACATAGATCTAAGATTAGGAGATGCCCTCTGGTAAACGTTTACAAAAACTATGGAAAATGACCATAGAAATAGTGGATTTACCCAGCTATAAAATGGTGATAAGCCATAGTTTTCTGTATGTTTACCCATTAAAAATGGTGACTTTCCAGTTCGCTTTCTGTAAACGTTTCCCAGAGGGTAGAAGCAACCTTAACATGGTGATCTGATAAGACAAGTCTCCGCTGATTCATCCACGATATGATTTTTGAGGCTATGGAATCCCAGGATTTTGTCTCCGGAAAACTCCCCAACAGAATCATGTTAACTCAGGATATGTTTTTAAAAATACTGCTGTGATGATTACTATCATCACTATTCAATTCTTGCTGTTAAAATGAATTACAGTATGATATTTATACTACTATCATCTACTATCATTGCAGTACTATTAGAATCTATACTATTAGAATATATTAATATAGATTTATAGCCTGTTTCCTATCATTTTGCCTAGACACTGGGCTCCCAGCCCCTTCGCGCGGGGAACCCGCCTCGCTTCGCTAGGGCACCGCTTTCATTAGCCTCTCCCCTGAGCGGCTCTGCAAGGCGCTGCGGTTGAATTCTAGGGTTTATGGAAGATATAACGCACATTAACGAACTAGTATTCATGGGGTTACCTCAAAAATGCATGGGTTTATACATGCTTATAATGGAAGGTCCTATGAAAATGGATGAGTTGGGTGTACCCCCATGACTTCGGAAACCTCCACATAGCTATCAGGTAAGATATGAATCATGAAACATGGAGATTTAATCTTGATATAAACGGGCTACTCCTGGGGATAGATAGGTAAGTTGGTTTAGTGACCTAAGGTAATGGTCAGTTATAGTTTTGGCACATATAATTATATATCGAACTTGTATGATAGTTGGATGGGGCTAGAAACCAACATAACGGTTAGGGGCCCCACTATGTAGTAATTTTTAACAGTTTGCTATGGGAAATTGATGAACAGGGCCAATTTAGTTCGATGATTTACCTGTTAATTGTGATTTTCAGATTCCATATGTGGTAAAAGGAAGGGTGACTAATGTATGAACCATTCAAACCGTGGATTTGAGGATGATTTAAACATAAAGAGTGGGGATGATTTTGGGGATATTGATGTAGAACCAAGTTGATACGATAATTCGGTGATTCTGGGTGTGTCTGAAAATGGTGTATACCGCAAGAACACCACGAAATAGCAATGTTCAAAGGGAAACATGATGATAAACCACGGGGTTTTGACTGGATAATAAGGGGATACCCGATGTTCAGACAAAACATGACAAACCACCAGAAACCACGAGAAGCCATGACTAATCCATATACCCTCTGGTACATAGCTAAAAATGGTCCAAGCCATTTAATAGCAACGACATCCGAAAAACCACCAACTCGATGGGTGACCGGATGCTACCCACTGCCTGACGCCCCGGATGTCCTCCCACGGGTTGATTCACTGGTGATGACTAACAGTTCGCCATGGTTTTTCGATGGCCCTAATCGAAATAGATGGTTTACCGAACTTAAAAATGGTGGAATTTTCCATGGCGAACTGTGAGTCGATTCCTGGGGTTTTCCTGGAGTTCTCCAGGTGCGAGGGAGAGATGTTTGGACAGAGGCGGGGCAAATGGGAGGTGAACGGAACGGATTTTCCGCAAAACTGGCAACTTCTCCGGAAAAACATGAGATTTGTACAAGGTGGTGGCCCCCAGTTATAAGTTGGTTTATCATCCCCATTAACTAGTTCGATATAACCCCCTAATCAACCCAACAGTTATTGGACTTATTGGCACCAACTTAGCTAACTATGGGGCCTCACATTGTAGTTTATTTTTGGGATTTTCATGAACTGACAATGGATTTTCATGGATTTTTGACAGTGATCTTTGATTTGTAAGGGGTACGCTGGCAAGGTAAACACATCTGCAACTGGGGGTTTTGTAATCTTTCACTACATGTGAGTCACATTTCGAAGCGTATGAGAGATCGTATGGGATCATATTGAACCTCTTTCGGATGTTGGATGTGTGAAGGCACAGTCAATCCGTTGGTTGCTATTCGGCCGAACAGGATTAATTCATCCGCATTCAGCCAAAACGTTTTAGGTCCGTGACACCCCGAAGAACAAGGCTTTGGTTTTAGGGCGAATCTGAGCCAGATATCATTTGGGGGGTCACCTTCTGTAAACGGTAAACGTTTACATATAGATGTGGAGTTTGCCCACCATGAAAGTAGGTTCTTACTGTATCGGAAACCATTGCTTTTCCACATCTTTTTGTACGTTAACCCTCCAATTCTCAAGGGTTGTCCCATATTTTCCTATGTTTTTTTACATCTTTTCCCATCTTTTTGTATGTTTCGTCTAGGTCTTCAAATGAGAACATTTCAGCCACAACGAGCCAGGCGGTTGCGGGCACTTGGCCCATAACTGAATTTCAGAAGATTGGAGAGGCGGGGACGCCGGTGGGAGCTGGTGGGTTTCCTAAGTGGGGATCCCCGTCATCTGACTTGGATGATAAACTTACTGGTGCTAAACGTAGGGAATGGAATGGGATTATTATTACTAGTTATTATGGATCATTCCCTCATTCCCTACTAAGCACCAGTAAGTAAAAGGGGGCTTCTCCCAAACTATGAGAACCAACGGTGTTTTTGACAGACTTTGCCTTCCACGAATTCGCGGCATAAGATGGAGAGCAGTCTTGAGAATTTTTCAATGATATCCTCTGGTAAACTAAGATAGCGGAAATATGCGGAACTCACCATTGTTTTAATAGGTAAAACATCTATAGATGGACCATGTTCCACAGCGATGTTAGTTTACTGCAGCACTTTTGACTCCAGGAGTCCGCTCTTTCCGAGGTAACCCCTTAAGCATCCAGGCAGAGTGGCAGACCTCATTTGTGGTTGATATGTCTCTCTACATGATCTTAACATGTTTTTCATTTATTTTCTCAATATTCTCAATGATATCTCTACATGATCTATGATGTCTCTTGATGTCTATTCCATCAAACATATAAAACCTCCAAAATATTCCCATTTTCACCTCGTCACCACGGCGACCCCCCAGCCTTTCGAGGCAGCGTTGCTGGCCAGCTCTGCAAAGCACAGTAGTGTCTCAGCTCAGACCAGAGAATATATGTGTTGTCTGAAAATAAGCTACCTCCACCACTAACGGGTGTAAAACAAGTCCTAAAACAACAATAAATCACACATTTGGGAATGGTTTATACCACCTATTCATGGTGAAATTGGGGATGGTTTATTGTTTTACCATCACTATGCTTCATCATCATTTTCCATATGCCCATTTTGTGGGATATACCATGGTATACCCCAATTTGCAGACTTGTCGCCGTATGGTGACTGCGACGACTCTCAAGGTGAGCATCAAATGGTGGTGGACTACATCTGCAAGCGCCTTTCCCAACGTTGCCTTTGCGTGGTCTTTTTCCCAATCTTCCCGTATGTGCCATATTGGGAGATGATCATCCATTTGATGATAGGGGTTTATTCATAATGTCCATTCTGTTTGGATTCCGTTTTTCTGGGATGACCATGCCGATGACCATGTAAAACTTGACCATGGCTAGATTTGATGGCTGATTTTGTTTGGGTGTGGGCTATGTAAATATCAGGAGAAACTCAACTATCCAATTTTGGGAGTTTTAGGTATTGGTATTGTCCTTCTTCTTGACCATACCGTACATACCCCATCATACCCCTACAATTTGTGCGTTTGTCACATACGCCCATTCTTGCTGGCAACATCTGCATGTTTCTGGGCCAATTTGGAATGACCTCACAACCACTGCCCCAACAAAGCTGAAATCGGCTTCTTTGTTTTGGTTGGGACATACCCTCTGGTAATTTGTTACAGTTTGCTATTGAAAATTGCCATAGAAATCGTTGAATTGTCCATTAAAAATGGTGATTTTCCACAGTTTTCTGTATGTTTACCGGAGGGTAATATTGTGATTCTTCCGGGTGTCCATCTTGACCCTAAAACCGGTTGTTTGTTCCATCGATGATCACCTACCGCCAAGCCTTGTGGCTTGGGTCAATGAATTCATCAACTGACATGTTTGATCTCAGAATTTTCAACTTTCATGACATAATCCTATTGTAGACAGAATTTGTAGAATATATACCCTCATAGAATATCAATATGTAAAACTTATGCCATATTCTTCCATATTTTCTCATTCATTTCCAACGATGTCCCTATTTTCGGCACGGGCGAGGCTCCTGGACGACATTGCCAGCCACGTGAAGGAGACACCATGGGGAAACACCAGGAGAATTTTCGGGAAAATTTTGGGGCATTTTTCCCTTGGGGAAATCCATGGTTTTTAGCACCAAATGGAGATATGACACATATATATATATATATATAATTATATATATATAATATCATATAACTTAAAAAGATCTGGTGGATTGGTTATGACATCTGGGGACTTCTACTACCTAATCTGTTGATTATGAACGGACTAGGAGGCAAACCTACCAACTCGTATTTCATGAGATGGGATAGCGGTAATGGCTGAATGTCTAGGGGAATAAGCATTTATGAGTTTCGGCTATTTCAAGGCACCTAGGGGTCCGCAAGTTTTGGCTCATAGCCATATATGCTTTGGAATAATTTTTGGATATTCTGATATCCACTATATCCAATATACCAGAGTAATATGCTTTGGAAGATAATTTGCAAACCACATGTTTTCAATGTCCCATTCATCATTCTTGTACTGAATTTGTATCCTGGCATAGTACCTACCAAAAATGAAAAAACACGGCATACATAGGATATGTCAGGATACATACATACATACATACATACATACATACATACGTTACATACATACATACATACATACATACATACATACATATATTATCTATATTTCCATTTGGAAACAACCAAAAAAAAGATATCAATGGGACATCAGTGGGTATATAAACCATCAAAACCCAGCTGACTGGTGATCCCGGATCCCCAGGGGCTCAAGGGACGACTTAGAATGATTTTCTCTGTACAGTATGCATATACGTGCTATAAACAACACGCACACACATATATATACTGTATATATATATACACAATACATTGTATATATATACATACATACACATACATATACACACAATACACACATATATATATATGTATATATATATACAATACACACACATATATACATATACATACATGGATAATCATGTACGTGGAGAGGTATACCATATGATTTGCCAACTTCCATGGCAGACTCCACGCTGTGGTGATGTTTTTTCAGGTCCTCGCATGGAGTGCATCGAGGGAGCAGTTCGGAGCTATGGCTATCCATAGCGTTACCAACATGGATATGTGGATGATGATACTATTACTGTAACCATTGATATGGATATGGATACTATAAGTGAATGAATGTTAATGTTAGAAAAAAAATCTATACTAATTCTATGATATGGTTGGTGTTTTTTTGGTGGTAAACCCAGTACCATAAACCACCCCTCCTGAGGTGTGGATATAGTCTGGGATCTACGACTTGACCCGAAAAAAATCCAGCAGTTTTTGGAAGATCCCACCGGGATCATCCCTGGTTAACCCGGGACCCAGTTTTCCATGTTCCGGGACCCAGTTCCACCCAGTTCCGGTAGGTTTGCGACACGCATATCCTGAAGCTGAAGCACTTGGTGCACATCAAACAGTCGTGGGGAGCCCAAGGAGCGCAAGGAGCCGATCAGTAGATGCCGATCGAGGTAAAGATCATCCGGATGATCCTATGGTTCCACGCTAAACGATGCCAAAAACAGCTAGATGTTGATGATGATGATGATGATGATTATGATGATGATGTTGTTGTTGTTGTTGTTGATGATGATGATGATGATAGTGATGTTGATGATGATGATGATGATGATTTTGATGATGATGATGATGATTATGATGATGATGATGTTGTTGTTGTTGTTGATGATGATGATGATAGTGATGTTGATGATTTTGATGATGATGATGATGATGTTGTTGATGATGATGATGATGATTTTGATGATTTTGATGATGATGATGATGCTGATGATGATGTTGTTGTTGTTGATGATGATGATGATGATGCTGATAGTGATGTTGATGATTTTGATGATGATGATGATGATGATGATGTTGTTGATGATGATGATGATTTTGATGATTTTGATGATGATGATGATGATGTTGTTGTTGATGATGATGATTTTGATGATTTTGATGATGATGATTTTGATGATTTTGATGATGATGATGATTTTGATGATTTTGATGATGATGATGTTGTTGTTGTTGATGATGATGATGATAGTGATGTTGATGATTTTGATGATGATGATGATGATGTTGATGATGATGATGGTACTGACATTTATATTCTATATACGTTATATACTATTTTAAGATTACCAACATCCATGTCTTTCGGGTGTTTATCTGCAGGTAGATGTACCAGCTTCGATGGGAAAACTCTGGAAAAGCTAGGTCTAATCCCATTGATAGATGGAACCTGGCATTGTAGTTTCTCATTTTTTAAAAGTTACCCTCTGGTAAATTAACATAGACCCTTAAAATCAGCCATTTTTAGTGGAAACTAATCTTCCAAATCCTATCTGCCAGGGTCTATGTTAATTTACAGGAGGGTATGATTGGTTCAAATGATGGATAGTTGGGTTGAACCACCAAACCAACTCAGGAGATACGCCGTTAGGACCAACTCAGGAGATCTGCAAGTCTCAGTTGCATTTCCCATCGGGATCGACCATGATCCTGGAATCTATGGTGATTTTCATGTAGAAAATCAGCTATGAGATTTTTTGGTATGTCCAGAGCCATATTTTCACATTGAGTCAAAATGAGTCACTCACTGGATTGAAGGGTTATTTTCTTAACCGGAAACCATGGATTTGTCCCATGAAATATAGGGCTTTCCGGTTTCAATGGTCCCTTGCACCAATCCAGCGAGTCACAGTTTTTGCGACCAAAAATTCCGCCTCGACATTTTGGTGGTCGACAAAATCCCAATTTTTGCAGGTTCCACACATAGGTCAAGAGGCAATTTGGGAGTTTCAACAAGTTCCTGAACGATGTAAACCGCAATTTTTTCCATCCAAAATGGAGGTTTACTGTTGGGTATACGACTATTTGACCCACTGAGCAAGTGGCTTAGTTCACCCCAGTTTTAAAGTGGATTAAGCCTACTTATCCCATTTATGGGGTCATAACCTACTTACCGTGACTGGTTTGTGGTTTGGAACATTTTTTATTTTTCCATACACTGGGAATAATGATCCCAACTGACTAATATTTTTCAGAGGGGTTGAAACCACCAACCAGATGATTACGATTACCATAGTTATATCCATTACATAACAATATATATATATGTATATATATACACATATTATATACATGGTTACAACAATACATTGCTACTTACTAAGTGCGATGAGCCACAGATCCTTTCGGCAATGCAACGCCAGGTACCACGCTCTTGCCAAGCAGGCACTCGTCAGAGTCTGATGGGAAAAATTGGGGGCAATCCAAAAATGGATGCTTTATAATGGACAATCCTATGAAAATGGATGATTTGGGGTTTCCCCCCCATTTTAGTAAACCTCTATGTCCTTGTTGATTGGTTCGTATCGGGGATTGCAACATATTACAACCAGGTTTCTTGGGGATTATTACCACCCATCATGGGGAATATGGTTTCTTGGGGATTCTTACCACCCATCATGGGGAAGATATGCTAACCAGGTTTCTTGTGGATATGCTAACCACCATTTACCACCCATCATGGGGTATGCTAAGCAACCAGTTTTTCAGTCCCTGTGGGATGACGGGATCCCTGCCAGGGTCCATCCGGAGATCCCTTTAACCTGGCGACCTTCTTTTGTGAACGCATGTGGGGAGCCTAGCGAAGGATGGGTCGAATGAGCCATGGAAAAAAAATGTGGAGCCATTTGGTACCCCAAGTTGGGATATTTTTATATAGGTGCAATGTCTTGAAAACGGGTGTAATGTTTTTGAACGACTTCCAGAATACGTCCTGCCGAGCTTTCCGAGTTCTGATGCTTCAATGGCAGCCCTTTGGTTTGATTCCTTGTTGTGGCCAGTGACTGGCGGGTGCAGATGTCATTTCTTTTTGGGTCCCAAAACACATGGGTTTGCAAACCAATTTTTCGACCAGGGTGACTCCCCCGTCTTTTTCCCCTTCATTCGAGCATCTCCTAATAACGGAGGGAGGTTTGACTGACCTTACTCGAAAACAACATTTCATGAAGAATCAGGGGATTCAACAGATAGGAGCGGAGGTGTAAAAACAGGCGGATGCAGCAATTTGATATAATATAATATAATATAATGTACTATAATATAATATAATATAATATAATGCAATATCGTATAATATAATATAGTATGATATATATAATATGATATAATGTAATGTAATGTAATGTGATATAATGTGATATAATATAATGTAGTATAATATAATGTAATATAATATAATATAATATATTGTAATATAATGTAATGAAATAACATGTAATGTAATATAATGTAATATAATACAATGTAATATGATACAATGTAATATATTATATTGTAATATAATATAATATAATTTAATATTATATCATAATATATATATAGACATATACGTACACATGCAAGTAACTTGTACTAATGTACTCACAATCATTGGTATAGCCAGCAAGATCTGATATTTACATATATTTACCATCGCCACTTTTCTCCAATGAACTATGTCCCCATTAGGAGGTTTCCTAAAATGGGGCTACCCCCAAAACAATTGGTTTCAATACTAAAATTGGTCTCGTTTTGGATGATTTGGGGTACCCCCTATTCTAGGACCCCCCCAATTACGCTCTGGTTATTTAACATAGCGAACTGGACAATGGCCCATAGATACAGATGATTTTCCCAGCTATAAAGCTCCATTGATTTTCTGGATTTTCCAGTTTGCTATGTGAAATCACCAGAAGATAGCGATATGATGTACATTATTTTACATAAATCTGGGTAAATTATAACGACCTCACTGTTCTCCCTCACTGGAATCATGGTTAATAAGGGGAATCATCCCCTTTAATGGCCTTATTTCAGGTTTGTGAATTATTATAATTTGCCCAGATAAATACCAGTTCCAGTTCATTTTCTGGATTAACCAGATGCTACATCACCATCTGATATTTGCAGATTCGTGAGCGCCAAGTCCTTGAACTTCAGCGAAATTCCAAGCAGGTCGCCCACGCCTGCGGTTTGCGGCTTGCCAACTGAAGATGCTCGAAACTTCATCAACCAAGCAGTACCTTGGCTGAATTCTATGGGTTTATGGATGTTTATGGTTACCCTCTGGTAAACTAACATAGCTATTGAAATTTGCCATTTATAGTGGATTTATCCACAAACAATTGTGATTTTCCATAGTTTTCTGTATGTTTACCAGAGGGTATATATAGCTATAGCAAACTGGTGGTGACTGGAACCATGGAATTTGATGAATGACTTTCCATTCAGAAAAGGGAATGGAATGTCATCATCCCAACTGACGAACTCACTCCATGATTTTTCAGAGGGGTAGGTATACCACCAGCCAAATAGTTAATGGGAGTTATAATGGTTTCGAAACCAACAAACATCACTGGGGTGCCCCATCCTGTCCCCTTAACACCTGTGGATGGTTGCGAAATCCTGCGCCCGTTGATAGGTGGTAAACATCCCATTATTTTTTTTGGGGTTCCAACCATCCGGTTGGTGGTGCAGGATTTCGCTGGCCCATCCACTGTAGATCCTGAAAATCACCTATTTTGGGTGGAAACCAACCACTATCTGGGCAGGCTCGAACTGTTAATTTACTGGAGGGTATAACCTGGGGATAATCATGGGGATGTACCCTCTGGTAAACTAACAATCTAGATGTGGAAAACTGATGAAAACTGACCATGAATGTAGATCATTTATTTTGAACCCGGAAACCATGGTTTTTTCGCATCCCAGAGCAACATCATATGATGGTTGATTAAGTCGTAATTGTATACTACCTATCTCGATGAATTTGATCACGACCTCGTGACTCGCTGTTCCTCACAGAGAACCGTTACTGGAATGATGGGAATTGGCGGCCACTCTACTACCAGAGGCTAAACTATTCAGGTTGCTGAACTATGAGAACTTAGCCTCTGGTAAACGTTGAAAGTCCGTTGATTTAGTCCGTTGATTTTCATTGTCAGTTGAACCATCGTTTTTGGTATGTTTACCAGAGGGTATCATCAAAAAGATCGCGTTTTTTGGCACATTTTTAGTGGTTGCTATATCTCATGAGTTGCTTAATGGGTAGTGATGCTTAAATGTTCCAATAAAGGGGATGTTGGAGAGATATCATCGTGATATAACTATAACTAATTGATTTCATGTCATATGATGGTGTATATATGTTTATATATATATATTATATATATATTATATATATGTATGATTATAATCAACGGTATGATATCATTTTGTTGGTTGATCATTTATAGGGGCTTTACCAGCAAACAATTGGAATATCACTGATACATGATGGTTCAAAGACAAAAAACAGAAAAACATGCTTTACTTGCTGCAAAATCATATCGCTTTAGTTGCTACTGATACATAATTTATGCTGACATTTGTTTTAGTTGCTGCGAATCACCAGAACAATGATTCAGCGTGAGATGAGAGGTTAAAATCCAGACGATTTTTGGGTCAAGTCATTGGCTCCAGTACCCATGTGGAGATTCCATGAGATTTGGTGATTTTGACCGACGTAGATGATCGTCAAATTGTTTTTTTGCATGAACTGTTTATATCCCATAGGATCCATGTATGCTATAAATGGTAACATTTACCATCAATATACCCCAAATGTTAGCATATATACCATACATGGATCCTATGGGTTATATAGTTTTTTTTTTTGTTTTTTCGACTGTTACCTTAAGCCAAATTGGAATCGAGACCGCAGATTCTGAGATTTGTATCGTTGGTGGTCCACATGAGGATTGGGGAGCTGGTCTAGGCCCTAGGCCCTAGGCTGGATATATCGAATAGGTGGGGTATGATGGGGTTATATAATATTACCATCTGGTTATGACTCACATAGCGAACTGGAAAATCACCATTTTTAAGAACGGTAAACCATCTATTTCGATTAGGGCCATCTATACCATGGCGAACTGTTAGTCATAACCAGAGGGTAATACAAACACCTCGGCCATCTTTGGGGCATCTTTGGAGCGCTGGGAAATTTCGCTCATTTCGGCGCCGGAATCCTTTCGATTTTTGGTGATTTAGGAGGCCCCCATTCGACAGTTGACGCACACAACTTGGTTGACGCACGGATTCAAATATATGGGGGATATATAATGATATATAGCTATTAACCAATTTACAACTGGGGGGCCTCACCTTCTAGTTGTTTTCCTTTGTTGGGGACGTTAATGGCCAAGAGCAAGCGTCTTCCCTCGAAAAATCACGGTCGCTGTCAGGAACCTTGGGATCGCGGCTTCTATGTGCCTCAGCTGCAGGATGATACCCTCGGTTAGACGTTGGTGTATAAACCCATATAAACCCCATGAAAACTATAGTTATATCTAGCATAAACCATGGTTAAGCCACTTATAATAAGGCAGCTGGCCAGCTATCTTGGGGGTCCCATCCTGTAGGAGATCCTCAAGATGTTGACTGGAAAATCATCCATGAAAGGATGTGACTATCTGGGTAAATTACAACGACCTCACTGTTCTCCCTGCAATGCTTAGGATTGGGTAACTATCCCCAAATGATTATGATAATTATTGATAATTTACCCAGATCCATTTTTCAGCAAATGTACCATCTGCTTATGACTAACATAGCGCACTGGAAAATCGCGAGAATCAATGGAGGTTTGGGAAATCATCGAACTTTCTATGGGCCATGGCTGCCATGGCTTCCATGGCGAAGTGTGAATGTCATAACCAGAGGGTAACTATGGGGGAATCCACTCACTGATGTTGAACTGCAATTATCTTCTTATCTTGGAGGATCATCCCACGGTCCTCGTGTCTGGTGGTCATGAAAACCACACGAGACGAGGACTTTGCAGGATGATCCTGCAGAGACGATGAACGAAATTTCAGAAAGGTCATGATGTCAGGTGAAGCGGCCGAATATGGCCGAATCACACTTTTGTTTCTTCAGATTCCAAGCGGAGTTTTTTTTCTAATCATCTGGCTCTTTTTCGTAGGGGTTGGGCCCCACTACTGAGACTGGAGAATGACCATCAATTGTCGTTTTTTTATTTTTTATTTTTGGTCAGTTCATATCAACCAGAGAATGACCGTGAATGAACAAAAAGACTCATTATATCTCACTACTTCTTAATTTTTGTGGTTGTCTTGGAGAAATTGTGTGAGTTCTCCAAAGAAAAGGCTGCAGCTAGAGATGTCTGATGGCAATTCTTGGTGCTACGGCCGTAGGAATGGGGGAAAAATTGGGAAGGATCCAATCCATGAGTATTTTCACAATCATCCCATTCCCCCATTCCCATCCATATCATCCATTCCCTACTCAAGGGGGTTGCGAGCCCCACTTGGTAAATGGCTTCCACCCCCAGTTTTACATATGGAAGATCACCACTAGATTATGGGATCATGTGGTATATATATATACATGATTGTGTATAAACATATATATATATACATAATATATATATATATACAACATGTATACTGTATACACATACAGACTATGAACCACGGATCCCTAGGGGGATGCCCATCCGAGGCCGCTCCCTGTGGTGTCCTTTCAGCGGAAAGTTGTGAACTCATTGTGGCACTCCGTGGCGCAGCTCAGGGCCGGTTTTAACGTTTGAACCATGGAGAAACAGCAACCCATAGAAATCGAAGGAAATCATAGGGAAATCCCATGAATTCTGGGAAGCACCATGAAACCATCATGGAATTCCATAGAGGCTCAATATACGTCACATAAAAGATACTCAAACTGAGCAGATATGAAAATTCAGCCAACACTATTTGTTCCCTGCGTAATCATGAACAATGGAGATAGTCCATCAAAACATGGGAGTTGAAACAGCAAGCGTTGGTATGTTTACCAGTCACAGCGCGGATGGAGAATGCTGAATGGTCAGGATTGTTGCACTCAATGTTCCAATTTCCTTTGGAAGTCAATGCGATTGACTTTATATATTACCTGAAATTGGCATAAAAATGGATAAAATGGGTAATTACCTACCAGAACAGAATAGATTTTTATGCCAATTTCGAACTGGGGTCAACTCCTGTCCGCCTACCGTGAACATACCATTTTTGATACTTTTCGGGACATCGATGGACATTTTGCAAGACCCATAGGATCCATGTATGGTATATATGGTAACATTTACCATCAATATACTGTATGCCCCAAATGTTAGCATACCATACATGGATCCGATGGGAGAGGGGAATCTTTTATTGGGACATTCAAAAGTCCTTTTTGTTGGGGTCCCGTACGCAAATCCATAAACTTGCAGCACGGCAGCCGGCAGCACGGCTTAATGCGGAAACACTTTTCAACGTGTAGATCTCGATCAGAATTGCATCGAAAATGAGATGGCTTAGTATACACCTAAAATATAAACTGTTGAGAAACCTAGAGGGCTAGAACCATCAAGATACCTGGACATATCCAACTTCCATGAATGATGAGGTGGGATGTCTGAAACATGATTTTTCTCGTTAAAAATCGTCGGAAGATCATATATATTTTTTCATTGCTATCTCAGCTTTCCACAGTTAATGCCTCGTTCAAGTCCAGTGAATATGGAACTTTGCACTGGAAAACTGATGGTGACGCACCCTGGTTAGCAACCACAATCCCAGTCAACTTCGACTCCACAGACAATTCTGGCTGCGGGACCACACTTGGGGGAGCAGTTGGGTTTATTCGGAGTGTTTGGCATTTGTTTTTCAACCATGGTAATGCACACTTGGGTGCGCAGTTGGATTTATTAAGGGTTTTAAACCACAGTAAGCATAATTGCCCTCTGGTAAACTAACACGACTATGGAACGTCACCATTTTCAATGGGTAATTCCACTATAAATCACAATGTTCAATAGCTATTACCAGAGGGTACCATCAACAATCATCTGGTTGGTGGTCTGGAACATGAATTTTATGACTTTCCATTCAGTTGGGAGATCTTCATGATCCCAACTGACGATTCGTCATATTTTTCAGAGTAGGGAAAAACCACCAACCAGAGGGTATCCCACATAAAATCACCATTAAACCCCATTAAATCCCATTAAATCACCATTTTCCTATGGTTTTCCTATGGTTTTCCTATGGTTCTCCTAGTCGTTGGGAGATCACCAACCCCGTTGCCCCCGTCTGGCAACGTCTGGCAACCGCCAACGGCGACGCCATGAAGCGCCCTTCCTTCGGCACGGTGGAGTGGTGCAGCGTGTCTCCGTCAGCGGCCACATCGGCCGCTCGGAAACCATGGCAGTGCACTAAGTGAAGCCAGGTGGATAGATTTGGGTATGGGTCAATACCTATAGATACATTTTTAGTGGGATGAACATCCATAAATCCCAGCTATGACTTGGGGTTCACTAGGTACCAGGGTTTTGACCCATCCCCATTTCACCATATGAAAAACCATAGATTTCACCATTTGCATATGAAATAGCCCACTTAGTATCAAATGAAAACCATGAAATACCCCAGTTAGATTAGTGGCTTTTGTTTTCCAGTGCTCCGGTTCGTTCTCGGGATGGACATCTCAGTGGGAAAAGGGACCAAAAATGCCCCTTGGTTTTAAGTGGGACTTCTTTGGGCCATGGGTTTTTATCTGTCGCAGATGAATTTTCATGGATTTCATGGGCTGTTTTGATTCCTGACATTTCTTCGGTGTACATTATCTGAGGGATAGGATGAATAGTTTTACGAATAGTTTACATATACCATTGTATAAACATATCCCATGAATTCCCTTCATTACAGTATAATATATCTATATCACAAATAATAGTTCCATGATCTTCCCATGTCTCAACTACATTTATACATCATCCATTAGTTATATATATATAATTATATGGTTTATCACCCATACATATCCATCAATTCAAGAAATCTATTCCACTAATTATTATCAAAATTATTACTATTATTATTTTATTATTATTATAATAATTATTATTATAGATATAGGCTATAATCCTATATACTGTATTACTATGTTCCATTATTATTCTTATTTATTTATGACTATTATTTATCAATTATTATTAGCATTAAAATTGTTATTGTCCTTTTTTAATTATTATCAATGATCTTCCCAATTCTTCCCATTCGACCTTCTCACCTCTCTCACTTGACGCGAAACGTCCGTAGCAAGTCGAGGTCTCGTCAGTGAATCCCTTGGCGCAGACACAGGTGTTTTGACGGCAAAGTTGCAGGGGTATTTGAACCACTTTTGATGGGGTTAAACGGTTTAACCAACAAAAATGGTGATTTCATGGGAATATCGTGGGAATATATGTATTTATATATATATATATATGTACTGGGGATAACGTAGTACTTAGATGGGCCATGGAGTTAGTTGGTTAGTTGACTAGTTAGTAAAATTGATTATCTTATATTATGACTGTTTTTTTTTTAAATAAGCCAATTACAAACCAGGAATGACTAATCTCCTTGGCCCATCTAAGTAGCAGGGGTTAGCAAACATATTTATAGCCCCGAAGTTAGATGCCGAAAATACCTTGGACACCTGGAAAATATGAAGGAAGCATCATTGAAGTACTTTCTGGAAACATGTTCGGCATCGTTTTGGGGGTTACATAGGGTTCCTGGGGATATGTGGTGGGGATACATCGAGGATATTTATGGAGATATCATTGGGTATGGGAAAACCATGTCACCGACATTATATATGGAACAAGATATTTGTGAATTTGATATCCATCAATCCCAGCTCTTTGAAAAGAGTTTGCGGGGTAAACCTTGGTGCAGTTTCATACACTTACCCTCTGGTAAACATACAGAAAACCATGGAACATCACCATTTTTAATAGGTAAATCAACGAACTTTCGACTGGGCCATGTTCAAGTTCGCAAAGTGTTTGTTTATCAGCTCGGGTACACATTTTTATCATCTTTTAAGCCAGTTGACCTTCCGGTATCCCTACAATCGCAGTGGAACATCCACCAAATCGTGAGTGACATGAATGAGACTATTTGGGGCTTTCCTAAGTCACGGGGGTACCCCTAGTTATCATCCATTTATAGATTGGGATTTCCCCTGAAATCAACCATCCAGCGATAAAGGGTATCCCATTTATGGAAACCCCCATTGACCAAACAGTGGAGAATCTGATTTTGGGTATCCAAGACTTGCAATTTTTATCCGGAATAGAGGGGGGCAAAGTAGGCAGTTTCCGTTTCTCTATGTGAAAAACGATGATCAACGAGGAGATTTCGGGATATCCTATTCTCAGGCAAACCTTCAGATGAAGCATTATGTTCTTACGAGGCTCAATGATCAGTTGCAATCACCTACCCTCTGGTAAACTTTCACATAACTATGGAAAATCACCATTTTTGATGGGAAAACTCACTATAAATGGCCATTTTCAATAGCTATTTTGACATAACCAGAGGGTATCATAGCTATGGACAATCCAACCAGTTTTTATCGGTAAATCATCGGTCACCAAATGAGCGCCACTTTCAATGGCTTTTTATCGCAGCGGCAAAGTGTTAAATTACCAGAAATTACAAGATGGTAATCTTCATTAGTTTCCCTGTTGCTGTTGTTGCTGCTGCTGCTGTTGTTGAAATTCCCATTCATCACTATGAAATCCGAAAAAAATCCCATGAAATCCCATGAGTTCCCCTATTATAAACCAATGATTTCCCATGAATCACCATCAACACACCCCCCGAAATCCCAAATTCATCAGATTCGCCGAGCGGCGACGCGATCTGTCTATACTGAGGCGGGATCCTTTTTTGATGTCACCCGATCTTCTCTATCTTCCAGCCTCGCGCTGAGCTGGCATTGGGGTGACCTCATTTCCTAGAGAATATTTCCGAGAATTTGAGCGGTCCAGGATTGCTGATTTCCATTCCTGAATTCGATGATTGTCGGTGCCAGATGTTTTTCTTTCCGGGGAAAAATGCAAGAAACCTATTTATACATTATTTACTGGCCAAACATCAAAAACTGGATAATTGATCATCCATAAAGAATGATAATAATACATGTTCAATTATCTAACATCATTCTGAATTATCAATTAGCCATTGTTAATTATGCCTAAAATTCAGGGGCAAAAAACCTATGGTTTCCGGTGTCCATTTTTGTCATCGCTCCGCCTCGCAGCACCGGATTTTCCATGATTTTCCAGTGTCAAATCTCTCACCATGGTGTGTTTTAAATGGTTTGAACACATCCCATATACACCATGGTGCTAGAATATCTACCATTGTTTACCAACATTTACCCTCAACATATGCCAGTTTTGGAGCAAATGGCCATTGTAACCAGTATAACCGGACAATTTTATGGCTTGACTGACCAGATTTTAGGTTGATTTCAGTAGCGATTTTAAATATGTTACATATCTATATAATTAAATGTAGATGTACACATGTACGTCAATTTCTATATATGCACATGTACATGTACATGATGTACATGATGTACATGATGTACATGATGTACATGATGTACATGATGTACATGATGTACATGATGTATATGATGTATATGATGTATATTTATATGTAATATATAGATAATAATATATATATATATACA